CCAGTGCTCACCCTCTCCCAGCTCTTTATACCTTCAATTTTACTCATTCATTCATTCCCCAGGGGTCACTTCCTCCTGACCTCTGTGTAATCCTCTTCAATCTTTGGTCTCCTGGTGAGTCCTGCTATCTGTTGCACGTCAACAAGAGGAGGAGAGGAGAGGACAGGAAAGGACAGGAGAGGACAGGAAAGGAGAGGACAAGAGAGGACAGGAGAGGACAGGAAAGGAGAGGAGAAGAGAGGAGAGGGGAGACAAGAAGAAGGGTAGAGAAGGAAAGACAGGAGAGGAGGGGAGAGAAGGGGAGATGAGGTAAATGGATTACATTTGAAGAAGAAGTGAAAGTGACAGGATCAGCAACTAAAATGGATGTAAAGGTAAAGCCGCAGAAGGACAGTGAAGGACAGTGAAGGACACTGGACTGACGTTGAGTTTAATACAAAGAAAATAGCTGACATTTTTCTGTATGGAAGAAAATTAAAGCCGTGAGGAGGTTTTGTGTGGAAAGGATGAATCTTGTGAGACAAATGTGCAGTGGTAGGAGTCAGAAAAGAAGCTCACACACACACACACACACACACACACACACCGACTGGTTTGTAACATAGCCTGATTCCCAACAGGTGCTGCAGAGAGGGAGGGTCACGGGGGGTCACTCGAGCCTCCTACACACTGAATGTCAACTAAAACTACTCTCCACACAAACACAAACAAGTCGCTCCCTCAGTTAAGTCTGAATTCTCCTGAGGGGGGAGATAAGAGGCTGTTTTCACAGAGAACAGAAGCACAGCCGGAGCTGATCTGCAAAATACAGCAAAACAAATTTTGATCAGATGTAGTGATTGTTTTTGGACTAAAATGAGCTATTTTTTATTGACAAATATTTTCCGTCCTAATTTGGTTTGAATGCGATTGTAAACAGTATAAAACTGAGCACTCAGGGCAACAGTGGCAGCAGATTAAAGTGCTGAAGTCAGATATACTGTGATTCATGTTTGCGTTGATGCCAAATAAGAACAACGTTTGCTGTAAATAAAGGGGAAGTAAGTGAAACTAATGTCCCTTGTCTTCCAGACTGGTCAGGCGTGGAGTTACGACTCAACTCTAAGGAGACGGGTCAGATGATAATCAGCACCGAGGTCAAGTTTTACAACTGCAGCGTCCACCAGCTGTAAGTATCTCTGAGTCCCGTTCATCGACCCCTGCTCCCCCTTTCCCGCCCTTAGACCTGTTGCCTAAACCTACGATGGTCTGGAAAAGAGTTACTGTTTGACTTTAACCTCACGGCTCAAAGATCGCAGGCCGCTGCGAGAAGTTTGTTTATTTAATTCAGTGTTTAACCACAGCAGCTGAGTACGATCGCAGTCCCTGTAGGTCATTCTGCCCCACTATTTGAGAAGTACTGAGTTAATGTAAAAAAAAAAAGAGCTGCAGAGACAAGAGGAAGTATAGTATACTCCAATACCGACTTCCAATACTAAAGGGGTCCCCGCCCCCTACTTTGGGAACCCCTTCCATAGGATCCAGCAGGGCCAAATGTGTACTTCGACCTTGGTTGTCAAACTCTCTCTCTACTCCAGCCTGGTCTAATCCGCAGCCTTTGTTCAAACGTTCCATACGATGTAAATGTATGTGTACTTTAGAGCTACAAGATTTATGCAGCGACGACTTGGCTCCGCTGCTTTAGAGGTTGTGCCAAGTGCAAGGGCACGACAACAGCAGGTGCCCACTCAGGAGCTGAACTCATTTCCTTCGTGGCGCCCCCCCCCCCTCCTCCACGTTGGCAAACGCACCATTCCTCCTTGACTGTGTTGCCTGTTTTTTTTCTCCTGACTCTCTCACTCTGCATGTGGTCCATGCAGGTGTCTGTCATGTGTGAACAGCGCCTTCCGCTGCCACTGGTGCAAGTACCGCAACCTGTGCACCCACGACCCCTCCAGCTGTTCCTTCCAGGAGGGACGGGTCAACACTTCAGAGGTGGGTAGAACACAGAGGAAACAAAGAAGCAACATATATACAGTATCAGTCGCACAACTTTTTCTGTTTTTTTTTTCCTCCTCCCATCATCACCTCCTCTCCTATTGTCTCTTCCTCTTTATTTACTTGCATCCTGCTCTGTGTTCTAGCGCGGTGTCAGCCGTGGGGCATGATTTGAGAAAAACAGCCATCTAAGCTCTTCTATTTCTGAACCCAAGTTATTCAAGCAGCGCTTTTGTTCCCCACCGCAGCAATTAACAGTGTGTTATCGCTGCGGCGTTTGAGCTGAGTGTGTGTTCGGGTCGACTCGGTATCGCTCCGACTTAGTCAATCAAGTGCACTTATTACCACACACACACGCGCGTGCCTTGAAGTGCCTGTGCAGACGGTGCGGTGGGTCGCGTCTCCGAACAGATACTTGAGGAAGTAGAACTTACTTAAGAATACTTAGAAATAGAAGAGCTACGAGGACGGCTCCGGCTGCTCTAACAGCCCTAATCACCTTCGCTTTCTGCCTCTCCACACATTAACAAGGACTTAAATAATTAACCTGATGAGAGGTGAGGGTGTTGAGGTCAATAAGAACGCTGCTGTAAGAGTCTCTGGACACCACTAATGCCTTCTATTCTAAAGAGAGTCGACCCTTTGGTTCTGATCAAGTGAGTTTTTCCCCGTTTTCCTATGGTCAAGTGTTCACTGTGGGACCAGTCAGGCTCCGCTCTACTCTATAGATTACTCTGTAATATTCTCAGGTCTTGACTGTAGGGGCGCACCGGGGTGCTTAAGTGAATTAGTATTATAGAAAGAGAATAGAATTACATTTAATTCCACTGTCTGATGATTTGTTCAACAGCCCAGAGCTCGGCAAGGTCACAGGGGTCACGTGTAAATGATGATCATTTTCTAATGTATTCACACCCTTCACATTCATCACTTCCCTTCACTTGGACTCTTGTTAGTGGCCCTAAAAAAACTCTGGGCGTTTGCCAGACTTGTTGGCACTGACGTGTCCTCACTGTCCTGCACTTGTGTTTTCCAGGATTGTCCCCAGCTGGTGCGCTCTGAGGAGATTTTGATCCCAGCAGGGGAGGTGAAGCCCATTACCCTGAAAGCCAGGAATCTGCCACAGCCCCAGTCTGGGCAGCGGGGCTACGAGTGTGTCCTCCATATTCAAGGTGTCAGCCACAGAGTCACTGCCCTGCGCTTCAACAGCTCCAGTGTTCAGTGCCAGAACAGCTCGGTGGGTTTGGGTGAATTAATGTGACATCGAATGGATGAATTTTTTTTTTACATTAGAAATCTTTTAAAATAGAAGTAGATCTTTACATTTCTAAGTACATTTCCGTCTTGTAGTTTGCATAGAATTAATATTTCACTGCCCTTTGCCACACGGTGCTCATGAATGTAGGATGTTGTGTGTACATGTGTTATTTCAGCCGGTGAAGACACAGTGGAGTGAACTTAAGTAATTACACAGCAGCGCGGCAGGCTCGGCGCTCCAGTCGAGCGTGCAGTGACTGCTGTAGTGTATTCTCGGTGGAAACACAAACATCACTTTGCTCGTTCTCTCCTCTGTCGCTCTTTCAATCTCACGTGTTTTCGCACACATCAGGTTAGACCTAAGGACGTAGGAGGCGCTAAGGAGACACTCTCTTAACGACCGCATCTCACTTTTCCTACTTTTTCTGTTCCCTTGATGATTAAATGATGTAAGTTTGTCGTAACACTTAACAGACGCGGTGCTGCATCTACAAGGTCTCATAGTGGTTTATGTATTTTTTTATTTAAACCTCAAACCAACCATTAAAACACTCCTGTCTTTTACTCACGTCCACTTTCACCACCGTCTCTCCTCCTTCTCACTCCCCCCCTCCTTCTCTCTCCCACACCATCATTTGGCCTCCAGTATCTGTACGAAGGAATGAAGATCAGTGAGCTGCCAGTGGATTTCTCAGTGGTGTGGAACGGCAACTTCATTATTGATAACCCAGAGAATATCCAAGGTAAAAACAAGAGACGCTGCTCACACATGTGCTGCTAAATAAGATGAAGAGTGACAAATGCACAGCCATGTTTTTACAAAAAAAATCATGTTAAAAAGATCAGCAAATATATGTTGTATTTTCCAATATATTTTCTTGTTTAATTAAGGCTAATTTAGGTCTTTGACTTCTTAGAACATCCGGCTGAATCTATGCTAATCATGTAGCTACCCTGTCTTGGCCTGCTGGTGGCGCTAAGAGCCATATAAAAGCCTGGTTTCTTGATTCTCATGTGCTGGTGTAGCAGTTATACATTATAAGTTTCAAGGTCTGGAAGAAGTGGCACCACATTGGTGTAAAACTCTTGACTTAAATAAAAAAATTGGAATATTTTACATCAACATTTTGCCTCCAATGAAATTAAACCACAGTTAAAATACCAAATATGTATATACAATATATGATAAACCGTGAGGCTAAGCTAACCATGCTAACACCCTCTTACTTGCTAATTTTTTAGCTTTATTGACAGCTAGGATCCCTGCGATCACCTGCCGGTGACTCAAAATGACTGAGAGGATTCGAAATATATAAATGTTGGATTCAACAATTTGCTTCTGGTGACTCAAAATGACTGAGAGGATTCAAAATATATAAATGTTGGATTCAACAAAAAAAAAAACAACAACTTTGTTATATGCCTTTCCAAACACTTAAAGAGATCATTTTGAAAAAAAACAACAACTTTGTAATATGCCTTTCCAAACACTCAAAAAACTTTGTAATATGCCTTTCCAAACACTTAAAGAGATAAAAAACAAGAAGTTCAGAAGGAACACTTTAGAGACGTTATCTCCACAAACTCACTGACGGGGTTTGGAGTGGCTGCGGGACAGACTTCCTGTTATCTCCTCCCCACAGTTCACCTCTACAAGTGCGCTGCTCAGCGAGACAGCTGCGGCATGTGTCTGAAGGCGGAGAGGAAGTTCCAGTGCGGTTGGTGCAGCGGAGACGGGAAGTGCACCCTACGACACCACTGTCCTCCCATCAACCCTTACACCACTCGCTGGCTGAACCTGTCCAGTAAAAACGTCAAGTGCACCAACCCACGCATCACTGAGGTCAGTACCCATAATCCTCTGTTTGCCCTTCCTGCCTGCGCAATCAAGTCGAGTTTAAATCAATGCGAAATAACGAGCTTTCTTTGCTGCTCTGTTTCATCCTGGTACATGTGGGTCCTGGATGGTGTTCCTAAATGCAGGGTCCTCAGCTGACGGTAGTCTGATATCAAATACAGTGTAGTGTGACGTGGTAGAACACGTTTCTACTACAGTACAAATACATTTATCATGTATAAAAGCTGTCAGGTTTTTACTTTTTAATCTAAATATCAATTAAAATTATTCCTAGTCTGTAACCTGTGATTTTACCCACAATATTGCAGTACCTGTGCAGACCCCAAGGGGTCACATATTTTGAAATTCAGGAGACATATCAGTGTTAAGTCTGTTTCACATTTCTTCGTTTCTCAATACCTGGTCAACACCAACATGTTTTATATGTAATATTTGTAATAATTTTCTGATCGGGTTGTATTGAGATTTACAGGGTTAAAGGTGCAGGTTATTATTTTGTAATGTTATTTGATTGATCTACAATTTGTTAAAAAAACAAAACATAATTGTAACTTGACTATTTTCTAGTGACAGATCAGATTCACTCTCTGAACAGTTTGTTCAACTACAGTCCACCGTGACCTTGTGTTCTAAACTACAGTCGTTCTAATGGGAGGAAACACTTTATCACCGAAGCTCGTACTCCACAGATCAATGACAGCAGCTGTCAAACGGCATTCTGGGAAATGTAGACATAGCCGTTGTGATGCAGGTGAACAGTTAGATGTTGTCAGCTGATGTAGGAGTCAGAGCTGAGTCATCGGAAAATGACTGCTGTCTAAATGAGAACCACCATGGATTCTGTTGATGTGTAACTGAGCGAGTGTGAAGGGAGTCAGGAGAGTTGAAGTGAGGTGAGGAGAGACAAAAGATGGAGCAGACGGAGAGGTCGACCGTGAAGTGGTTAAAAAAAACAAACAAAAAAAACAAAACAAAAAAAACCAAAGAGAGGGCAGGAAGCCAACTGTAGCTCCTCTGGATCTTACCTCAAAAAAACCTGCTCCGCCTTAATTCAGACGTCACCTGTCAGTTACACACACACACATATACACACACCAGTGTGTCATCATTTTAGTGGAACCTTTTCATTTTTGTGCGATAACATTTTCTTCAAGAAGCAGTCGGGGTCCCTGATGTGGAGACCCCACTTCCCCTCTGTCTCCCCCCTCCCTCTCTCCCTCTCTCCCTCCCTGCCTTCCGTCACCAGTTGATTTGTATACATACCAGCACATTAGTGGATGAGCCTGCCAAGAGAAAGGACTATTAAATAAGTAATGTTTCTATTAGGAAGCGTGGCACCTCCCACCGTAGGCCATTAATATTGAAGAGATGTAAGCCAGTGCTAACAGCAGAGGGAATGACATCAAATAAAGCTGGGAGTTGACGGAGCAGATGAAAGGACTCTGCTGAATAGGCTGCGGCTGTGGCTGCTTGTGTTTGAGTGTGTGTGAGTTTACAGTACAGTGAAGAGGCGTCTTTGCTTCACTGTGACGGTTCTATTTTAGGATCAAACCATTAAAGAGTGAGAACTCAGGATTCCTCCTCTTTTTTCTTTTTTTTTTCCTCCCGCACAATGTATTCAAGCTCATTCCACACTGTGGGGATTTGGTCTGTCAGTCGGTATTTTAGCCCAACTATTATATCCTCACTGTGAATGTTGCAGCATGTGTGCTACAATTTAGGCTGGGAGTCGGGGGGGGGGACAGGACTCTCGTCTTACAGCGAGGACATCACTGGTTCTCACTGGTCCCTCTGTGTGGAGGAGGTTCTCCAAATGACTCTCTGAGTACTGAGTACTCTGAGTACTCTGATTTCCACAGCCCATAAACAGGCAGCAGTAGATCAGAATAACTGGACTTTCTAAATTAACCGCCGATGTGAGAGTGAGTGTGAATGACTCGCTGGAACACGTAGTATTTGTCTCTCCAAGTACCCCGTGTAGTCGCACACAGTATACAGTACAAAGAAGATAATTGCTCCTTAATTAGACTATTCATCAGCCAAAGCTACACTGTACAATGCAGTAGCAGAAGAGCAACCTGGGATTTGGGGCCTGGGGGGTTTGGAACCCGGGACCTTCTGTTTGCAGGTAGAGGTAAAAAAAAGGACAAACACGACAAAAAAACGTCCTCATCATTTACCCAATCCCTGGGAAGCAGTGAGTGCTCTCAGCGGCGCCCCCCAGAGTGAGGGATATTTTCATACACGCTAAACACTCCTCCACCAGGCTGGGATTTGAACTTGTGATGCTCTGATAACTACTATTCTAATAGTAGTTATCACTAATCTACTTTTTTTTTTTTTTGACCACAAGTACTTTATTGTGACTAAGAGACCTCCTAGTCCTTTTGGCAAACAGATTTCCTCTGCATACCACTAGAGGGAGCACAGGTACCAACACTAGAACCCATACCATAGTCTGAGAACCAAGTTTATGTTAATGCATTGAGCAGACGCTTTTATCCAAAGTGAGTTACGATACGGAAGGCGCCGTTGGGGGTGTGTGGGAATTGAACCCTCTGCTCTACACTATGGAACCAGCTGACTGCTGGTACTAGGTCCACCCTCCAGCCACCAGTATTAACTGGTAGAAGATGAATGGCTTAACTCATGTAAATGATCAGCGGTCAATGGTCAGAAACACTCAACCCGAACTCATGTAAATGGTCAATGGTCAGAAACACTCAACCCTGACATGCCCCGCCTCCTTTTATACTTGTTCACTGAACACTCTCTCCCATCTCGCTCCGTATCTCTCGGCCAACGAGGCTTTAAAGACTTCATAAAGTATTTAGGATGAGGTTTGTTCAGGAACGAGTGATCAGCGGGCTTTTTATCAAGTCCATTAAACACTGCTCACAATTAAATGTGACGCCTTCAAATTAATCTGAGCAGAGTCCAGAGACAGAAGGATTAGTTGGCAAGTTTCTAAGTCCTATTAAACACTGCTTAAAAATCAGCGGCGAAATACGGCGTCGTGTCTGAAATTCCTACTTAAATTGTCAAAGGGATTAAACGCCGTTAGTAATTAATACAGTACACGTGTTCCACAGTGGTGGTTCGTGCTGATGCGTCACTGGTGTTTCCTCTGATCAAAGGTGTGGATGGAAGATGTATGGACAAGAAGATCGAAGGTGTGGATGGAAGATGTATGGACAAGTTCAGAGACAGATGATATAAATTTAACCTTCATAACCTTTTAAAGCAAATAAATGTCCCACAGAATTAGCTTTACATGCCCCACAGGGGGCGTTGACCCCTACTTTTGGAATCACTGTCCTAGAGGACGTGGCTGAAGATGATCGCTGTATTACTCTGTGATTTCAGCACTACTTTGTCCTGACTCAAACATCCAGACGCTTCACACTAAATTTTTTTTCAACCTTTCTACGCCTTTCGGTCTGACGAGAAGAATTCTCCTTATCTCACTAAAAATGCCTGTTGGATTGGAATGGCTCTATATCAGAGGATATTTCACTCCTGTTTGTATTTCCGTGGTTGTTGACTAATCCCCTCCAGAATGTGTATAGAACATGCTGTGGTGAAGGGGGAACACTCTGATCTGTGACCTTCAGAACGAGAACAGGCTGAAAGAGAGCAGAGCACGTGGCATTGAGGCAGACTGTGCGCTGCCCTCTGTTGTCAGTTGTGACATTGCCAGGCGGCCCGCATCAACGCGCCTAAAAGGATTACACGGAGAGCATGGCACGGCAGCGATGAGTTGGAATGGGCGAAGTAAGGGCAGCAGGATGTGCGTGCGTGTCCAATGAGGAATCCTCTCATCTTCCCTCAGCAAGTGTGAAGGATAAGACAAACCGGCGGGCGGGGCGCTCAGAGGAGGTGTCACCTAGCCACGAGGAGACGAGCGGATGGCAAATAAAAGGCAGAAGGAAAGGCGGAGACAGAGGGAGATGACTTGAAAATGTAAAACGTTCTCCCGCGAAGATCATCCGCAGGACACACGACTGGTGTGTGAAGGCCGTTAGAAATCGGTTCGCCGTCAGTCGAACCTCCTGGAGGCCGGAGTAAATGGTCCTTTGTAGATTTAGTCATGTGTAGGAAACAGGAAGACAGAAAAAAAAGACTTGAGTGACGTGAGCGTTTTAAATGTTGGGTTTTTCTAACGTCCACTCACGAATCAAAGCACAATCCTCCAGTGGGTTTGTCCACTGTTGTCCCGTGTGTCCTCTGTCCGCTGTGGGAAGGAACTTCTTTTTACTGATCGAACTCATCCCTTTGGCTCCCTCTCTTTCTTCCTTTTCACTTCCCCTTCAATCCCCCCCGTCCTCCCCCCTCGTCCACCGCACCATCCTCCATAACTAGTTCTCTCTCAGGTGCTAACATTTCTTACGTAACATCACCAAGTCGACTACTGTAAGTGCCTGCCGTGGATAAATTTAGCCTGAAAGTTTTTTTTTCACACACACCCCACACACCCACACCCAACCCCCCCACCTCCCCTTCCCCATCTTCCCATAGCCTGCATGCTCAGGCAGTGCTGAAAGATTCATGCGTTCGAAGCCCTTAGGCAGTGAACTGACACACTTATTTCATATCCAGAGCAATTAATGTTCACTGAGTCTAGATTACAATGTTGGTATTCCACAAGGAAACTGCAATGCCTTGTGGGACGGCAGGTTAAGAGAGGGAAGGACACGCAGAACCAGTCGGATGTTTACTTTCATGGAACATCGGCACCAGTTCTACTCTTGGTTCAGTTCTTGTTGCTAACAGGACTATAACCTTTGTGTGAAGTTCTTTTTTTCCCTCCCCTTTACTTCCTCTCCTTCTTCAGCTCCACCTACAGCTCCACCTTCTGAACACCACACAACTAAGGGTCTCCTCCTTTGTCCCTTAAACTCAACCCCCTCCATCTCCTCCCTCTCCTCCCGTTCTTGCTCGTCTTCACGGTTTAAAGACTGGACCGTGGCCAGGTCAGGAACCTCAACAGGGTTCTGCAGCACAGACGGCAGTGCGCCACTCTTTGCCAAGGTCATGCTGGGCGGCCATATTGTATTTTATGAATAGAGGGTCTCCATTTAGCATTGATGTGTGACCCCTTGTAGGATTCATCGTCCGGTGAATTACAGATACTGTAGGCGACAACGCAGGGATGTTTCAGGTTTTCTACCCATGTCTTCATTCGTTCATTTCTTTTTGAATAGTTTGTGAAATGAAAGATCAAACTGTGATCTTAATGTGTGATCGTGTGCGTGTGCGTAGATGTGATGTGATATTTAAACAGTAAGAGCTATTAACGCCGTGCCATTAGCTACTGTTGCGATCAGAGCTGGCTCTTGGCGCAGTGACGCATGGCGTGTTCTAACATCCTTGGATGCAGGCATGAGGAGTGTTCTTAATTGCTTTTACAGCCACCTGAGCCGAGAGAGCACATTTACCCTTGAGCATCCACAGAAACTCGTCTGCATTTGTAATCTCGTTATGACAGGTCCACACCGGGAGAAGAAGAAAAAAAACGTTGCTCAGTGTCACTTGCAACAAAACTGTTACAACTTTCTCACTAATTTGAGCTTTTTGTTTGCTGTAGGTGACACCGGTGGCCGGACCCCCAGAAGGAGGGACAAGGGTGACCATCCGTGGCACAAATCTGGGTCTGGCCTTTGCAGACATGGTGGATAATGTGGAGGTGGCAGGAGTGAGGTGTTCTCCTGTAGAGGATGGCTACATTATTGCTGAACAGTAAGTCACAAAATTCAACAAGTTATTTATTAATACAGTTCAAAGAAATGGGTTGATCCTGTGGCCTAGACTAGTGCTTTACTGGACTGTACACCACACCAGTATGAGTCGCATATGAGTCAAACATCCATTAGGACTAATATCTATTTTTAAAACATAGTACATAAAAATCCAAGGGCAGTAGTATTTCACTTTGTTCCTTTTTTATTCTTTATTCTTAAAGTGTTTCATTTTTAGCACAAAAATGTCATTATTGCACATATACAGTGCCCTCTTGTGGCCATTGATGATATGGAATACAAAATGTATTCCAATATACAAGTCGCAGGAACACTAACCCTTGGGGAAAAAAAATTGTATTGATAATATTTACATGTGACTCATAATGAAGTGTCTGTGTATATTGTGTATATATATGTACATATATATACTGTATATTGTTTATGCATCAGATTGAGGCTTCATTAATATTCATGAGGCTGCGTTAGCCTCCATCTTTACCTTAATGAAGACTGGATCAGTTCCATACAGTCTGGCTGTGATCCCGCTCTGTGCATACATCACGTTAGAGTCTGTCCTCCTCACCCTGCACTAATGAAGTGCAGCCCGTGCCTCAGTACTTGCCCATCTACCCCTCAGCTAAACAAACACTGAAAGTGATATCTGCACTTCTGTTGTTGTTGTACCTCCCATCCCCCCTTCCTCACCTCCTCCTCCTCCCACCCACATCACTTGAAAACTTGATTCATTTTATTTGCATCATACATTTTCATTAATCACAGGGCAGCTGTGATCAATCACGATTAATTGTGATTAATCACCATTAAACCTGATTAATGACGATTAATTCGAGTTATCAACATATATCAGCGTTCTTAAATGTCAGAAAAAAAAATTTACTTCTTGAACTTCGTTAAGGCCATCATGTTCCACAATATTAATCAGTCTACGGTGACAGTGACATAAGAGACAAATTTTGTTATTTGATTAATTTTGATTTTTTTTATCCTGTTCATTTTGACACAGAAACCTGGACTACAGCGGTTCTTTATTATTTCAAGAATGAACAGCTTCTATGATGATTACTACAGTAATAATATGTACTAAGAATACACATATAAAATTTAAAGTACAAAGTAAAATTTGTATATGTTTATATGTTTTTTATATGTTTTAAAATATAAATATATTAAGCAAAAGAAAAATACTGGTCACTCTAGTGGAACCGTAGTAAAAGTATTCCTTAACTCATTTAAATGGAGTAATTCTCTGTTATTAAAGAAAAACAAACAAACATAAAAACATTCTGAATTGTGTTTGAAATTGACAAAAATATTGTCATTATCATCTCACAAAACAATGAGTGCAGTTACAAAGTATGTTTATCCAGAAGAACCACACTCTTCCTCTTAGGGAAATAATGAGGAGTGAAATTTAGGCACCGTCACTAAATGAAACATCATTTTGTGAATCACTAAGTTGCTGTTGTTTTTGGTGGTCAGCCCTGGGAAAACAATCCATCCTCCTCCTTTCATCTGCTGCCGTCCTGTCGTCCCGTGTCATCTGCCTCACAGCCGACTCTGTCCCTCTCTCCGCGCTGTGATCACATCTTGTGCTTTATTACTCCCCGGCTCTATCAGTCAATAGGCATCCTCTATTTTATGATGTCATTTGATGTAGTCACCTGCAGCACAGGCTGACACCTGATCACACAGTATGATGGAGCTGCATCGACCCTGCTGCGTGATTTACATTAGACTCACCGCACTGGCACTGCACCAGCACCGTGGGGCGCCTGGCCGTTGTGGAGAAATTTACTCGACTTTGGATGGGTTTGCTGAAGTGCCACGGGCGAAGGAGCACTCGTCTCATTTAAAGACTTGTCATTGAGGGGGGTCCTTGTCGATTTCTGGATGACTCCCTTAATGAAATGGACGAGACAACAAAAGAAAGATTGCATTTAGAGGGAAGGCTGAATCAATAGCAAGTAGCCAAGTGTCCTGATTAGTTTTGACCAACTTCCATCAGTTATTCAAACTTTAAAAGTCATTTTTTTATGGAAACTTTGAAAAATATTGTTGTCTATGGTTTATTCAGGAAATTGATTCATAATAGTTCATTAATTGTTTTTTTTTCTTTCTTGCAGGATTGTCTGTGAGATGGATCCCACTCCCAGAGACAGTAGACCTGGTCCAGTCCAGCTGTGTGTCGGAGAGTGCCGACCAGAACTCAGGGCTCGCTCCGCACACCTCTACTCCTTTGTGGTACGACTGCACGTTAAAGTTCATCAAAACCTATTGAAATTCAAATGTACCTTCTTTCAATATATATACACATATATGTGTATATATATATATATAAACAGTATATATGTATGTAGTCATCTAACAGCCAATACAATATGATTCAGAGCAGTGTAGAGAAGCAGTTCTCAAACTTTTTCTACTCTCTATCACCACGATGACCAACATTAGAATATAGCAGCGTAGACCTGTTTATAAAGATGTTTGTGTTTAAATGTTGTTTTAATTGCGCATTGTATGTTTCAGATTTATTCAATTGAAAATATTAATTTTCCCCACGTACCACCAGAGAGTGCTCGGGTGCCACCAGTGGTACACATACCACAGTTTGAGAACCACTGATTTAGAGCACTCAATTTTTTTTAAGAATTTTGTATTTTTTTAAGTTAGAATTATCTCAGGTCATGACACCAGTTTCTTTAATTGTTTTCACATAAAAAATCTCATTGGCTGAAGGGTGTCTTTTTTTGTCGATTAGGATTTCAACAGTGGATAGGTGAATATGTTTTTATGATTCTCCTGACTGGGTTGACATCAGCCCGATAATAACTCCTCCACCGTTAGGAGAGAGAGAGAGAGAGAGAGAGTTAACAGTTAACAGACAACTTTTTTTTTTTTTAGAAAGCTCTACTTCCATGTGGCAGGTAAAAATTTTCCGCTCCCGTTTCCACACATTCAGGAACACATTTTCTCCTCTCTGTCATTTGCTGTCAGCTCCGCCTGCAGCTAACAGATAATCAGCTTTCCCATTCGCACTTTTCCACACCTTGACAGTTAATGATCCCTCAACAATTAACAGCAGCCAGTAATTACCAGCGTTGTTTCCAACGTACCTGCCTGAGCCTGCATCCTGGAGAAGTCGTAGCCACGGTGCTGGGCTTGACAGTTTGGAGTTCCATCAGGGTTAGGGCTGGTACTTGGCTCTGGTACTTTTTCTCTCCCACTGCAGTGTCATGCAGTGTTACTCTGGGAAGCGGTGAGATTCCTCTGAGGAATCTTCACAGGGCTCAGAATTTTTGAACCACACTCCTGGATTCAGGGCCATGGAACAAACATCCAGCAGATACACAGTCTGTGAGGCAGCAACAGCCAAGCTGCTGGCACAGAGCCGGCGTGAATTTTAGCTTTTTTAATTTGTGGTCATATGTTTGTGCACAGGGACGCTCGCACACACACACATGCTGTTGCATGCTGTGTGTGTGTCACTGTATGACGACTTGTCAGCTTGGATATCTCTCCATCTGCCTGTCGCCGTGACGGCAGCCTTCCTGCTGGAAACACTAGTTATTTTCAGACCTCGTCTCTCAAACACAGCCCAGCTCTGCTCAACGCACGGGGAGAGGATCTGCGAGAGTCCGACGACTCCCGGTTTTATCCTCTCTTCAGCCACTCCGGTTGCACTCCCGGCCATTGGTGGCGAAATATAGATAACTGTAATTTACTGCAGTTCTGTGATAATGCAGAAAGCTCACAAGTGATACCCCCAAAGATGCAGCGCTTTCGAGGCCGTTAAATATCTATCTCCCAGGCTCGGTTCTGGATCAGTGGCTTCGTCCCTTCTATCTGCTGCTACATCTTCCTCTAATCTGCTCCCACAGATCAGCTTGTATTTCTCTGTCCTGCAGACTCCCACAGTCACAGCTCTGTCCCCGAGCAGAGGTCCAGAGTCTGGAGGCACCAAGGTGACCATAATGGGAGAGAACCTGGGCGCGGGCAGCAGCGTCAACGTCCAGTTTGGAAACCAAACCTGCGAGTTCTTTGGGTGAGACTTTGAGTTAAAGTTGTATGAATATAATTTTAATACAAGAAACCCTGATTAGACATTGGTTAAATGTATTGAATTCACCATCATGGAAATTATATGAACATTTTCAAAAATATCATATATACAGTATAATAGTATATATGAATATGAGAGATTTAAATAATTTACTATGACAATGTAATAATACATCTTACTTATTAACATTAATATTGTGTAAAATATGCAGAACATTTCACTGATAAATAATTAAAAATATAGAAATTCCCTTGTAAATATAATGTATTGAGTTACCTCAAAATTTTATAAAAATTGTTAAGAAATTATAAAATTAAGAAACTATTAAATATATATATATCTATATACCAGGCCATAAAATATATTTGAAAAAATGAAAATACAGTTAATCATTAGCATGAAAACCTCCAACATGAACCAGAAAGCAACCATTTCTGGCAATATATAAAAGTAAACAACAAAATACAGCTCTATAGTGTGGATTTTTAAAATGGTGTTTCCCCCGTGGTTGGTCAAATTCCTCTTTTACACAAAAAAGGTTGAAAAACAAACACTGAAGAGCACAGAACATTACACCATCACCATGTTCTTGTTGTGTTCTCCTTGTTCCTAAATTCCTTAAACACCACTTTTCTGTTTTTTCTTCTTAACTGGTTTACATGGCTATAAATGTACTGTGAGCTTTGACACTGTTGTTTGAGCTCCTCCATGCATCACTGTCAAAAACTGTTGGATACATGGCGTGCTCGGAGCGTATCAAGTGAAAACAAGCGTTTTCCCAGGAGGACGTGAATTCTTCCCACTAAATAAGCCGCAGCATTTCTTTGCTTTCTTGTGTTGTTTCCCTTCGCACCACTGAAAACGCCCCGGGGGAACGCTCCTCCCACACTTCCTCTGTCAGAAAACTCATGTAAATCTTAACAAGGTTTTGATGATGCACTTGCGTGAAACTTTGAAATAACAGCTCCCAGAAATACCTTGCTACTCCAATTAGTCTCTCATCTCGCTCTCATTCACCTCATCTCTGTTTATCTGTCCAACTGGTACAAAGTCTTTCTTGTCTTCCTTTGTTGTCCTTCAACACCCTTTGTTCCTGGACTCGTTTTTCCTCAAACACACAGCTCGTGTTCGGGGTAGGTATCTTTTTTAAGCCCTGCCACAATAGTCTGACAGTAATGTTGTGATGCCAAGGAGTCAAGCCAGCTTTAATGAGATACCAGGCTAATGCTGGCTTGTGTTTCACTGCTGTACTCCTGGCATGGGGAGGAGTGAACTCTGCTAATGAGTTTGGGGGAATTCAATCCAAGGGGTGGGCAAGTGGAACATGGAACCATGAAGATGGGTATTTAAGTATGACAGCAATGTATGTGTGTATTCCTAGTATTGCTATACGTGTGGGGACACTTTCTTGTGAGGACATTTTGCAGGTCCCCACTGAGTGGGGGGGAATTTTGTTAAGTTTGGAGGAGACTACGACTACAGAGCCAAAGATACGGAGCAAGAAAACTTTAGAGTTTAAACACACATTAGCGGCTGATTATGACTCCTGTCCCCGCAGTACATATGCCAGGCCTGTATGTGGCACTGTGCCAACCATGATATAACATACTAACGCCAAAAGAATTGATACTGCAAGTTTAGAAAACAGAAAATGAAGCGACACAGTGTTTTTGTAACCCGAAAGCACATACTGCTAAATATGGAGCTGTAGCTAACCCAATAGCCGAATTAGCTTCTCCAGCACGGTCGGAAGTAGCATAGTCTCCGCTATTGTTGTTACTGTGTGGTGTTGAGGTTTTTATAAATTACAGTGGTTTTTATAGCGGTTGAAGTACAAGCTGGATACAGTGATTCCCAACCATGATATAACATACTAACGCCAAAAGAATTGATACTGCAAGTTTAGAAAACAGAAAATGAAGCGACAGAGTGTTTTTGTAACTCGAAAGCACATACTGCTAAATATGGAGCTGTAGCTAACCCAATAGCCAAATTAGCTTCTCCAGCACGGTCGGAAGTAGCATAGTCTCCGCTATTGTTGTTACTGTGTGGTGTTGATATAATTGTTAATTACAGTGGTTTTTATAGCGGTTGAAGTACAAGCTGGATACAGTGATTCTTCAAAGAAGACTTTTTTTTATAATTGTTAAGGTTTTTGTAACTGGAAGTTTGTGAAGAGGTTTGTGTTTGTCTTTGTTTGTTTGTTTGTCTTTTGACCTCTGCTTCATTTTCAACAACTCCATATTTTTCTGTTTTTTCGCAAATGCTTTACAAGAAGTTGCTAATTTAATCCCTTGGGTTTCCTTCGCTGATGCAAACTAAGGGATTGTTGTAAATAATGAGGTTTCTTTGCTTTAACAAAGGTATAAACACGATGAGCCGTTTGGAGATTAATCATAGTTTATGAAACAAGAGACAGCTTCATTTTTTTAATTATGAAATGTTGGTCAAACTAATGACGAGTTCATTCATTTTGTCACACAGACGGACTATGACGGAGATCATTTGCTACTCTGCGCCTTCTCTGTCTGGTGTGGGCCCAGTGCAGATCAGCGTCAGCGTGGATCATGCCCAAGTCAGAGACAGCCTCACCTTTGAGTATATCGAGGACCCCACTGTCCAGAGGATCGAACCGGACTGGAGTATTGCCAGGTAAAGTCAATACCACCTGGTTTTCCTTGAAGCTGCAGCAGCTCGGTCTAATCAGTAACAAGTATCGCACACGTGAGGTCACCAGCCCACGCTTCCGTTCCCAGTCCACCGAGGCAGACAGTCCAGCCCAGTGTAAACAATCAGACTGAGTCAATAAAGTACTTTTAATTATTGTTCAGCTCTCTTACAAAACAGTTTGTGTCCAGATAGGAGCCGCCACAGCTCCACAGTGTGGCGAGGATTATCACATACAGGGCCGATCCATCTGCTGAACGTCTTTGGCCGCGAGATGCTCATACGCCACACGCTACAAATTAAAACAGCGGAGATGGATGAAAATAAAATAGCAGCTTAGCGGAACAATGTGCAATCAGAGGTGTGAGTCCGCAGCAGATGGTGTGGGCTTAAGAAACGGAGCTCAGGGGACGCTGCGGCAGGAGTGTGACTGCACAGAGGAGAAGGAGGTGGAAATTAAAGGAGTCACAGGAAGGACGGACATCATATATTTCCACTTACTTTTTACTGTATGTTTCTGTGCATGTGATAAATCTAAACCAGCCATATATACTACGACACATACACATACCTTATATGTAAATGATTGACTTTTGTATATGTATGAGCCGCATCTCATTGTGATGTTCAAGAAATATTTTAAAACTTCTCATATAAGCTACAACAAATATAAGCAGCTTTGCTATTTTTATTATCATTTATATTTATATATTTATATATATATGATCATATATATTTGTTATGTATATATTGTCATATATTAATATATTGTATATGATCAGATATATTTGTAATATATATTGTCATATATTAATATATTGTCATTTATGTTTATATTTGATATATTACTGTGTATATACAGTAGTGTCAAGTAAGTGGCAGGAAGTAACAAATTGAGGAACTCAACTTCCAAAAAGCAAGTGCTTCTTGATTATAAAATATATGTATAAACATATAAACTGCACCAGGGTTAAAACCACCAGCACTCACAAATTGTGAAATTTTCAAAATCTGCCTCAGCTTCATTCCTGTGGAATACAGTTCATTTCATTACTATAGGGTGTTATGGTGGAGGACACTGAATATAAACTGCAACAATATGTTGCATTTTGTTAGTGTTTCCAGTCATTCTCTCAGCAGGTTCTGTACTTTTACAATACAGAGAGAGATTTACTTGGGATGTGTGGTATAAAAAGAAAAAAACGAGAGAACGAACAGGAGTTACGAGCCCACACTCCATCCAACCATTTAATTCACATTTCTTTATCACATCATGTTAAGAGGCAAATTAACCACCTGCCTAGAAAACTGCACATTCAGCACTTTCTCTCTGGCTGTGTTATGTCTCATTTCAGAGTGTTAAGAAAACATTACAAACAATTGTATCATTATGATAAAAATGTTTTGTTTTGTTTTGTTTTTTTCAGTGGCCACACCCCTCTGATGGTCACAGGGACCAATCTGGACGTGGTTCAGGAGCCGAGGATTCGAGTCAAATATGCTGGTCGAGAGTCTGTCAATGTAAGAATCACAACACTTTAGTTTATCGTACTGTACACACTTGAATATGCTAAAAGGTAGAAAAAAGTTAAATGTGTTTTTACTAAATCCCGTAATGGCCCCTACGACCCCGTCTGTTGCCCTAATTCCTGGCCAAAACTTTTTTCTTGTGGGCTGCAACTGCCATTCAAAAAATTGAAATAGCACAGATAGTCGTCTGCGTATGCGTTAACTCTGCAGGGATAATCTCAGTTTCTTCGGTGGCCTCCAGCTGCTGAGCACTGGTGTTTGTTTGTGTTTTTTTTTTTCACATTTTTTACTTTGTTTGACAGGAAACAGGGTTTTCAAAAATGAGCAGGTTCACAGTAGATGAAGGTGGTGTTTGAAGAGGGGTCTGGAAAAACGTCAGAGGTTTCATGATCAGGAGGAAGGCTGGGACTAATGGCTTTTAATCGGGGATTTACTACATCCACAAATCTTTGGTCAGCATTAAGAGCACTCGAATAATCAAAGGCCCGGCTAAGGGGAATCTTTACAAATTGCTTTTGAGCCCATGTCCTGGGGGTCCTTGTTTAATTAAGATAATTTGATTTTCTCTCACTGTTCCGGGGGAAAGGTGGAGTAGACAGAAGAATAAAGGAGAAATGGTTAGGAGTGCTGGTGGGTTTCGTGGCGTTATATTAAGTCATTATTCATTTGCTCAGTCGCAGATGCTTCACTAAAAGAGTGGGTGAAACAATTCATCGCCTGAAGGAGTCGATTTCAACACGGAGCTCAGTTTTTAGAGGTCAATAAGTTGTTATAGTAGGGTGACAGTGAACGTGATCCAACTGGGCTGAAGTTATTAACAGAAAACTAAGTTAAAACAAAGCAGGATGTCCTGCTGCCTGTTTTACTGTTCGTGTCCATGTACCTCAACATGACTAGAATGAATGTTACATTTACTCTTATTGGGGCAGGCAAATTATTCAATTTCTTTACCTGATCAATCTCACATAGCTGCGGATTAATCATGAACAGTCATGATTAATCACAATTAATCATGAATAATCAGATAGATAGATAGATATCCAAAGATAGATAATTTATTAGCCTTGGGAGTTCTTTCGGAAAATTTAGGAATTTTATGAATTAGTGTGTTTCCTGACGATGTTCCTTAAACAATGTATATCTTTACTTCTGGTAGTTTAATGTTCTTTTATTTTTGTGTCTCCGTATCCCCAAAAGACTTCTGTGAGTTTTGAAAGCCTGATAAGGTAACCGTCTCTAAAGCTTCAGTGTGCAGAGAAGAGGAAAAGAATCCCTGATAAGTGACAGATTGTTAGAGATCTGATGAAATGAGATTTGACTCGTGTATCGGTCCTGCGCTGTCTGATTTGTCACTATCTGTGGCATCAAGAGAGGCTTGTTCTTCTCTACCGTCAGCCGTCAGCTCTTCTTCTGCACCCAGCACCCCACAAAATAAAATCATGTCGCCGTCTCGATTGCTCTCACAGCCATGGAGAATGAAGTTCTGGTAAATTCTAAGGTTACAATTATCCATCCTTCATCCCTTCTCTGCAGTCTCCCCCCTTTTCCCCTCTTTGTCGCCAGAGTAAGGCAAACAGCAGAACAGCCTTTAGCAATGAGCGCTGCTGTCTGTCAGCCGGCTCTGGAATGATCACCTGTCTCCGACTGAATTGCTTCTCTTCTTTTCTTCCCCTGTGTCACCTGCACAGACTCACAAAGAAGCAGGGAAAAGGAGGAAGAAAGACAATTTTCTTTGTGAGACGTTCTGTATCTGTCATCGCATTTACAATTGAAACATTTATCATAATCTTTACAGCTAAAGGCGGTGATTTCAGAGCTGTATAAGTTTTTTCGTTTCTTCTCGTGCTTTTGCTTCACTTATATCCGGGCTGAGTGCAGAGTCTGGCACCTTCCCCACTGTGCTGTTTATTGTTCATGTTCTGGACAAGTGTGGGCAACAAGGGCGATTACATGGGCAACTGAGTTTTGTATTCTGTACTGCAGTTACCTGCCATACATGTTTCTCAGACGTACACTGTACTTATACTGAGAGAAAGTTCCTGCTCAACCTCCGGTTTACACAGGTTCGGGTCTGACATTTGGGGAAGAACAAACAGTGTTGAATGAGAACCAGGGAGATGTTGTTGAAACCAGTTAAACCGGTTAGCAGTGACCAGATAGCGTTAGCTTAGCTGAATAACTATTGACCTGTTAAATATTTTTCTTATGCAAATTCACACCACCACCAGGCTGCTGTTTGACATTTTTCCCCACATTCTCTCTGTTTCATCTGCTCTTTCCAGAGACCTTATGGTTGACCGAGTAGTTTTTAAGGACAGAGAAAATCAAGGCTAAGTTTTCAGCTAAACTTTTTAAAAAACCTTGGTAGATGATGCAGGAAGACCAATAATTACACTTTAGTTGTTCATTTTAGTTCATGTTATTAATGCAAAGCATTGTGTAGACTTTTCTTTTCATGCTGTCAGGGCAGGTGTTCTAAAAGCGGGGGCTGAGGGCCCCAGGGTGTATGAAGCTATTAGAGGTTAAAGGTGCAGGCAAATTAATTTCAATTTCAATTTCTTCTGTAGACAAAAGGGGGGCGCTGCTGGAAACGGTTGCAAACCCCTGCCCTTGCTAGACAGTTTTACCAGTGTTTAGGATCATAAAGAGGTGTGTGCTATTGAAGCTGAATGTCAAGTAATGTTTCATATTATATTTTACTGCATTGTTTTGTGTATATAAATCAAAATTAATTTTCCTAAAATGTAGCTGCAACTCAAAGGTACGATGGGCTGTTTTAAGGCTATATGGTGAAAGAAAGACATCAGGCAGATGCTGTATTTTTTTTCTTCCACCCCACAGTGTCCCCTTTTTTTTACCCGTCACTTTTTATTTGCTCATGCAAAACATCCTGTGTGACAGCAGCAGCTTTCCATCATGACAGGATCCAACAAAGACGAGGACTTTTTTTTTTGTATAAAAAAAGAAAGAAAGAGAAAGTGAGGGCAGTGAAAAAAAACAGCACAGTATCATATCAGGCTGAACAGATGGTAGTCAGAACTGTACTTGACTTGCAAATGCCTCGCTGTTCCAACGTGACAGTCATGAAGCTGCAGGAGCAGCTGGGCCTGTCTTTATACCGTGTCAACATGCCAGCAGCAAGAGAGCGGCCGCATCAAATTTAACTTTAGAGCTCATATAAGTGTTTGTCAGCGGGACCTTTCTAACTCTGACGCAGTGATTGGAGGTGAAACCAGTCTTCGTTACCATTGTGTTTTTAATGTCGGTCTTAAATCAATGTTATTGGTTACATGAGACTTCACTTATTTATTAATTAATAATTAGTAAATAATGTCTTTAAATAGACTGAATTAAGGATATAAATCTTGTTGGGTTTTTTTGTAGATTCTTTTGAAGTAATAGTGAATTTTTACATCTCTAAGATTTCATAAGATGCTGCAGAGTTTCCAGGCGCAGCTAAAGAGTGACTCAGTATCTGTTACTGTGGCTGTGACAGTTCCTCATAAATCTCCTGAATCACTGAGCGACTGTTTGGATGACGGTTTGGTTTAACCTTGAACAGTGACCAGATGTTGAGTTGGAGTCATTTTCTGCTTTTACCTAATTTCTTTAGTTTAAAAAAAAAAAGAAAAAAATGGTCCAAACTGTAACATGTCGTGATGTGAAGAAACTGAATGTTTAAATGGCCATAGAAAATAATACTTTTTAAACGCCCACTTATTAACGAATAGATTCTGTGTTAATAGTGATAAGTACTGGGTCTGTAATTTTTGACCACATTAACTACATTTTCAGCTATTACAGCTAAAAAAAAATAGGGAATAAACTTGGGACAATACTGCCCCCCACTGGGCTGGAGTGTTTGCATTAGTGGTAACAGTGTTCCAGAAATGGGGAACCTAAAATAACCTAAAATTAAATTTGTTATTCAGTTCCCAGATTACCAGCAGTGGTTTCTGTCCTTCACTTATTATAGTTATATAATTTGTTTCACTGGTTTTCCGAAAATGTTAAAAATATTTAAGGAAATTATTATAGAGTCGGAGATTTTAAATGAACCAATAAAGGATGATTTTTTTTTATAGCCTCCCTCCTCTCATATAAACATCAAACCCCTGATAGCCCGGCTCTTTTATCAGAATTCACGTTCCATTAGGATTTTCATGTTTGTCTTTATATTTGCCCTGAACTCCACTGCTGATATAAAATGGAGGGGGGGGGGGGGGGGGGGGAGAATGTGTTTGCATCGATCTCCCTGGTTCTCAGTGCTGCAGCAGATAACAGGTAGGAGGTGTGATACTCACTAGTGTTCAGCAGCTTTGATGATATTTACCTCTAATTAAGTTCCTTCCCCTGAGAGGGAGAAGAAGAGTGGAGAAGAGATGGGAGGAAGAGGGAGAGGGGAGGGAGGGAGGGAGGGAGGCAAGGGAGTGAAAGAAGAAAAAACTCTTTGAGCAGAGTCCTGTGCAGCAATCAATTCTCACTCTCCTCCAGAGCTGAGCTGGGGAGGATGGATAGAAGACAGGTCTCTCATCTGGGCAAACTGGAGAGAAGTAATAAAAGAGCTGCAGCTCAATCTCCACCTGCGGACACAGAGGAGCAGCGAGATGATTTTCTTACACTCACTTCTGCCCCCTTCAGGTGTGTAAGGTGATGAACACCACCAGTATGTGCTGCTTCGCCCCCTCCCTGATGGCAGAATACTATCCCGGTCTGGACACAGTGAAGCATGCGGACGAGTTTGGCTTCATCTTCAACAACGTCCAGGCGCTGCTGGTCTACAACAACACCAACCTTCTCTATTACCCCAACCCTTACTTTGAGCCCCTCAGCAACACTGGTGTGCTGGAGCAGAAGCCTGGCTCACCCATTATTCTGAAGGTAATAATTGATGACTGTGATGTTAGAGGTGTACCACACATACACGGTCTCATTGAAACATCAAGTTTACAACTGTTTACAAATCCAACAAAAATAAATTAGTAAAAGTAATTATCTAAGTAGGGCTTAATTACATTGACAACATGTGTTGATGCATTAGTCAACTAATACAAAAAAAATGAAAAAACATCATCAGCTCTAATATTGTCATCTTGACTGGATGAACAATTGAAGGAAGGAGCCAATCAGAAGGCGGCAATCCAGTCATAGTGAATGTGTCGCTGGTAGAAGAATATATGAAGACTCTACCTGTGAGATAATTAGTGCTGTTTAATGATGCAAATATGAAATATATAAAAGATTAATCAGAGGATAGACGACTAATATTGATTAATCGTGATCATAATTTGTTTCATTTTCATGTTAGATATATCATATATATAATATTAAATATAATAGTAGAAGTAGTAATAGTGTTTAGAAGATAATTTTTTAATAAATCCAAAAAATAACGAGCTGATTTATTTACTGAATTTCTAATCTGGTCTGTGTGACAGTGACTCCCCTGCAGCTGTATCCAGACCCAGGGATTAAATTTACAGTGTATTTCATCAACACCGTTGGATTATTTATTTTTTTCTAATGTATGATTATATGAGTTATTGGATTTTCTTTTTTCTAATGTATGATTATATGAGTTTTAATCCAAATTTTACACTCCCGTCTATTTCAACACACCCACAGGGCAGAAACCTGATCCCACCAGCCTCAGGAGGGGTAAAGCTGAACTACACGGTAATGATCGGAGAGACCCCCTGCTCTGTCACTGTGTCTGAGAGCCAGCTGCTGTGTGAGCCGCCCAACCTGACTGGCCAATACAAAGTCATGGTGAGTTTGTGTCTGAGCTGCTGTGGATGTGTCTTTGTTATTGTCACTCCGTCCTCGTCACGCACTCACCTTTGGTTCATTTCTGTCTTTTCTTTATTTGATGTGTTTTAAGGGATGGACTTAAAAAACACTTTAATTTAAAAATAAAAAGAATAAAAAAGGAAACAGGAAATTCACATTCCATTGAGCACAAAATGAATGTTTTTTATTTTTTTTAAATTGGATGATAGTTGCAGCCTGATTAGATGTCACCATCATAACATAATTACCTGTAAATAACAATAACACGTCCATGTTATTCCCCTTTTGTTTTCATGCATATAAGTACATTAGAAAATATTCATATTCATAATGAAATATAATTTGACAAAACATTTCTGACATGAAGTGTTTGTGCATTTTTTAATTTCACTTTTTAAAATTCATCAAGCGGGCCATATTGATATGTCAGTGGGCTGGTTTTGGGCCGTGGGCCGTATGTTTGACACCCCTGAAATTTAATAATATTAAACCATGAACGTTATTAACTGAAAACTAAATTCAGCAGTACGTTACAGCAGCCACCTTTGTCCCCTGTCATCTCTTTTCTACACTGGAACTTGTGTTCACAGCATGACTCTTTTACTACTTTGATTTGATTTTGCTAAAGAAAAAAAATGAGTCAATGAGAACAAGTAATTTTTTCCCCTGTTGTTCTTTTGTTTCTTTTTTGTCAACAAAATGTTCTGCCAGTGTCTGCTGTATAATTTTACTAGCCTGCGTGTTTGACTGCAGGTCCCACCAGCTGCTCCAGAACAATTATCATTGGCTTGATTTTTCTTCCATTTTCTGTCTGAATCAAGACTTTTGTTGATCTCTTTGCTTAAACCAAATGTGGACAAAAAAAAGCAAACGTTAACTGCCAGTGTGAACATCTCCAGGTCCAAGTGGGTGGTCTCCACGTGTCCCCCGGCACAGTCAACATTATGTCTGACAGCCTCCTGACCCTTCCTGCCATCGTCAGCATCGCCGCCGGCGGAGGTCTCCTGCTGATCATCGTCATCCTCGTCCTCATCGCCTACAAGAGGAAGTCACGTGAGAACGATCTCACCCTGAAGCGCCTGCAGATGCAAATGGACAACCTGGAGTCACGTGTGGCCCTGGAGTGTAAAGAAGGTCAGTGTCAGGAGAGTTGAGGAGCGAACGTGTGGAGCTGCAGAGAAAGCCGGCTGCTTCGTGATTGTAGAGTGAAAAAGATTACGCCTCTGTTTTGCTGAAAATATACATTTGCAAGCGGTAATTGTAGACACTGCTCTGTCACAGATGGAGTTAAATAGAGCTGGGGATTGTATTTCCCTCAGGCGAGCTGTAATCATACAAAAGGGAAAAAAAATTGTATTTGTGAATATTTCACAGAAAATTACTGGTTGTCTGGCTGCGTTAAATAATTCAGGGAAAATTTTCTGCAAATCTGGGGCAGTGAGTCGTCCTGCTTTTACCAGAACAGACTCAGTCTCCTCTCTGTGTGCGTCCTGTCCGATCGTGTTGTAAATCCTCGGCTGCTCTCACCGCTTCCATTGTGATGTAGCTGTAGTATTTAGACTGAGGCATAAATACTACATCCTGTTGTTGACAAGCGTTTAGTATGAAGTACATTTTATTTACGCCCCAAATGTCAAATCAATTACACTTTAATGTTTTTCTCAGTTGTCTTTTTTTACCTCGAAGGTGGTGTGACAAACTGTACAGTTATTTTAAAAACAAGCTATTCAAGTGGTGGCTCAAGGGTCACATGAGGTCCAGAAAAAGCCTCAGAGTGGCCCGGTCTGTGGTCATTTGAGGAAAGTAGAGAGAAACTGAGAGAATTACATGATCGGCCAGTGAAGACAAATGTCTATAGTAGGTCAGACCATGAATGCAACACTCTCTGTAGTCTAACAACATACAACACACAATGCATCCCTTGTGTGAACTGTAAGTAGATAACTATACAGCAACAGGTTCCTCTGAAATGAAAAATAAAAAATAATCAAGGAAAATCATGAGTTTAATTTAGAATAAAATGGACCACAGATACTGCTACCTCAGACCGACCTCTTCGGTTCACAGGCTCTGACTGTGCTGTAGAATCTTCATACTCATGCCGTACTACCTTTAAATATTTTGATCGCCCTCTGGTGTCGTCCCGAAGGTCGTTATAGCCAATCGCTGAGCAGCACACTGAGGAGTAGGTTTAACAACATTCAGGGGATTTTCATCATCCGGAGTGGATCTTATTATTTTTACCCTCCAGCTACTCCTGAGTGGCCCATCTGGTGTTGTCATGCAGTGAAAACAACTGACTGCAGCCGTCTTTCACAACGGTCAGACGCAAGACATGGAGGCTGAAAGACAGAGGAGGGAGGACAGCAGGGAGAGTCAGGCAGAAACCATCACCCACAGAGGAAGGGGAAGATTAATCTTTTACCCATTAACAGACACCAGGAGTGTGCTGCCCTCCGGGGGGATTTAGACGGTACCTGGATCCCTCCTGGTGAGCATGTGTACACCCCTTGTGTGCCTGTAAGCCCAGTTGGTCATACAGGGGCCGTGGGCAGAGACTGGTGGGAGAAGGTTGAGTTTTGAGAGGGTGTTAGGAGGCTGCTGCTGCTGCTGCTGCAATTGGCTGCAGGTTGGGAAGGTCCCTGAAGGCAGCGGAGCAGAGCAGCTGAGCCATGTGCCTGAGCAGGAGTCAGTCAGTCAGGAGCCAATTACCTAGTGCTCACCTGCAGCCTCACACTGGGAAGATACACACACACTGTACACACACACACACACACACTGTCCTTCTCTTTGTGGCCAAAGCTACAACTAATTTACTGCATGGAAGATAAAAATGAGTGACAAGGGCGACAAAGACGGTGTATTTTTTATATCTGGCTGCAGCGGTGAAATATGGAGTTCCTCTGACATGAGGACTATATATTTAACTTCAGCTGCTGACTTCATCACTTCGGTGCTGAAGATCATGGAGATAGATTCACATACCTACATACATACGGAGCTCACGTCGATATAAGACTTTGCAGTCTTGCATTTTGTATAACCGTGTGGACTCTCATCTGTGTTCTCTTTCATCCCAGCCTTTGCCGAGCTGCAGACAGACATCAATGAGCTGACCAGTGACCTGGACAGGGCTGGAATCCCCTATCTGGACTACAGAACATACGCCATGCGAGTCCTCTTCCCCGGTATAGAAGATCATCCCGTCCTCAGAGAACTGGAGGTATGTTTGGAGACAGAAAAGGCAGGTGTGAGGGAGGGGGGCATAAACGATGTTAAGGAAGGACAAGAGAAAGTCAAACTCAAGTCGAAAAATAGACAGAGATAGAAAAGAAGAGGACAGAACCAGGGAGGGAGACAGAAGTAGAGAACTTTCTGCCTCGACAACACCGCCTGAAGGGGAATGTCCACGAGCTGCAGCGCTCCAGGCAGAGTTGATGCCACTGTGTCACTTTTTTCTTTCTACTCTCTGGTTTCACACACGTACACTGCAGCCGTTTGTGCCACACATTCTCTCACGGGCTAATGCACAACTTACACCTGTGAGCTCCCCTGTGGACAACAGTGTCACAGCGCGCCCTTGTTACAAACATCAGTTTTTATTTTTATATAGCACAGACCTAAGAATGGAAGTGGAGACCGCTGCCATCATAGCAGGCTGTTGTTACACAGTGCCACAGCAGAAGATGAAGGTGGAGCAGGCAGTTGTATAACGTCTTATGTAAATGTGCTCTCTATTTATAGCATCAGTAAATTGTTGATGAGCTGCTCCTATGGTCTTGATTCAATCTCTATTTATATCAGGGGTCACCCATTATATATGTTGAAGAGCCGGAATCTTTCTGGACAGACATCTGGGGGGCTAAACCCTCAAATAAATTGACATAAAATCACATTTATGTCTAACATTATTATTTTATGTTTATTTTGCTGGATGATGCAGCAGAGAAGATGGCTCAGCCACTAAAGGAAGGACCTAAATAAACACCTAATGTAATGTAATATCATAATAATGCAAGTACACCTAGGAAGTTCATATTTCCGAGGGTACCTGAATGCCACTCGGATTACCTGTGGTACCTGAATGCCACTGGTATTACCTTTGGTACCTGAACGCTGAAGGACAGGCTAGCATGTTGGCCCCCAACAATAACAATAATAAAAAGGATATTTATAACTTTTTCAATGCAGCGAACTACGCTTTTTACAGCACCATTTTGCGCTGTTCCGTTCGTATTTACTTTGGGGACCGAACGACACGGTGAGTGTTAACTGTCGCTGTGAAAACGGTTTCGGGTTGTTTTGTTTTAGCTGTACATGCTAACACATGCTAGCACATATTTGTTGCGTTGCCTATGTTGTTGTTGCTGCTACTTTTGGCGTCACTTTCGAATAAATTACAAATATATTTAGCAGGGATATTTATAACGTTTTCAATGCAGCGAACTACGCTTTTTACAGCACCATTTTGCGCTGTTCCGTTCGTATTTACTTTGGGGACCGAACGACACGGTGAGTGTTAACTGTCGCTGTGAAAACGGTTTCGGGTTGTTTTGTTTTAGCTGTACATGCTAACACATGCTAGCACATGTTTGTTGCGTTGCCTATGTTGATGCTGCTGCTGCTACTTTTGGCGTCACTTTCGAATAAATTACAAATATATTTAGCAGGTTCGTTTTGTTTTGTGGTCATAGACTTTGTAGGAGACGTATCTATGCTCGAATGAGGTATTTTTACTTTTCCACACAGTGATGTCCTATTGATCCGCGGGTAAAGGTTCACTACTTAAGGGTCGTCTTACACTAGAAAGTCGTTTGACTGTGAAAGGAAGCGGCAGCTTTCTTGGTTTACAGCGCTCTTTACCAGACCTGGGTCAATAATAGATTAAGATCTTCTCAGTTACTCAGTGTGAGCACAAACTTCTGTCTGCCTGGTGAGAAACATGAGAATCACACAGGGTTGGTCACGGTGTAGAAGTGATAGTAGCTTTTCCAAGCGGAGCCAGCAAAATAGTCATGAACTCGCGTGCACTTTCCTCCAGGTGTCGGGTAACGGCCAGCAGAACGTGGAGAAGGCCTTGAAGTTGTTCGGACAGCTCATCAACAACAAGGTGTTTCTGCTCACTTTCATCCGCACACTGGAAACTCAGCGGTCCTTCTCCATGAGAGACCGCGGTAACGTGGCCTCACTCATCATGACGGCGCTGCAGGGGCGGCTGGAGTACGCCACCGATGTCCTGAAGCACCTGCTGTCAGACCTCATCGACCGCAACCTGGAGAGCAAAAACCACCCAAAGCTGCTGCTGCGCAGGTAAAACACACTGAGACACAACATGAACCACTTTAAAATCAGTGCAAACATGAACCACACTTGAAAGGAACTTGTTTTGTTTGTTGTGCAACAAGTTGTTGATCTAATATCATGTTGTTTAGTTCTGCAAAAATATGGATTACTGGATTGCATTTGAAAGGAACAGGATTTTAGTAGTTGGACAAAGGAAAGGGTTGTGACCTGGTGTAAAAGGTCATCAAAGAATTCTTCAAAGTGTTTGGAATTTTATGGGGGAGATGTAGAGAAAAGGTTCTGTTTTTTGGTCTTAGAAATTTCAACTTCCCATGGAATCAGTTGCGCACAGACAAATAAAATGCGTCATTTATGGTTCTTAGTTGTTAGTTTGAAGACATTTTTCCAGAAGTCTGGCTTTGGTTTGTTGAAAACGTTCCACCTCCTCATCCGTGAGATTTTCAGATCAAAAGAACTGAAGCCAGTTCAGTTTTTTGTGATTCATGCAGTAAGGAGTCGACCAGTAGTCTCCTATATCCTCGATGCATACAGACAGGTTGATAAGTAATTTACAGCCCTGTGTGTGTGTTTTTCTTTAAACTTGCGTGTCGATGCTTCCTGTTTTCCCTCCGTGCTCCTGTGCCGACAGTTGTCATAATGAGTGCAGCGGAAACATCTACAGAACAGCATGCACTCACTTCACGACAGGAGGAACATCTGAAGCCTCTCTCTAGGTTGTTGTCCTCGCACTGAGGAGCCTCTCCCCCGTGCCTCCCCTCATCGCCCTTGTCAGTCTCACTTATCTTCCATATAAAACATTAACAAGTGCTTTAACTTTCTTTCCTCTTCCCTCGTCTCTCCCGTGAACATTGTTTTCTGGGTACATTGGTATAATGTGTTAAAACTTTAAACACCTGCTGGCCCCAGTTCCCGCGCCTGCTTTGTCTTCTCTGTTTACAGAGCACTGTCGTTTTTAAAACTTGGCTGCTCGACGCACGACTTCATCTACTTGAGTGATGTCAGTGAAGCGGTGCAGCAGCCACTCAGCTCTGCTCTGAGGCTTTGTCTGTGTCTTTACTTGATAAAACTACATGAATAGTTTTAGCAGATAAGTTACATTTCCCCCAGAGCTGCTGCTGCTGCTGCTCTCCACCAAATATGACACAAATCAGAAAAAAAAAATCAGTTTCAGGCTCTCTGCTACAAAACTGAATTAAAAAAAAAATCTTATCTTCATCATTCAACTTGATAGCCCCCCGCCCCCCTTTATTATATTACAAATGTACACACTTGCTTTAGGTTTTTATATGAGGGGATTATGTGAGTTTGTTTTCTGTGTGTTTATATTCACATCTGTTTTTCTTTACAGTCCTTCCGTTCAAACATCTTTCACCTCAAATCAATTTGATCCTAATATCAATAAATATTACAAATATTCTTTTCTTGACCAACTACTTTCTGTGACAGGTAATCAATCCAAACTGTAAATGACAGTTATGTAAAATTGTTTAGATTTCCTATAAACTAGATTTATATAGTTACTAAAAACAATCATTTTAACTTATACTTAATGCCATTTGATACTTCATTGAGTACTGTAGTAACTTAAATATTAGGTAACAATATAGTAATGAAGTGAGTTTTATTCAAAGAAGAATGAAGAAAATGTCTGTCACTACACTTGTATATATACATGCAGTAAGTTTACGACATGTTGGCAGCTCCGCTCCTGGTACACAGTATAAATACCAGCAGGTTGTGGATCTCTGCTCCTCTTATCCTCTTGTTTTATGGTGTTTTGATAGTATTTCATTTCACTGTTAATCATGCAAAGACACTGAAACGGAGCCGCAGCAGTTTGAGACTGTTCTGTTTATGTAAGACGTTATATTACTGCTGCGTTTGAGGCCTACAGCGTCCAGCAGGTTTTTTTTATTATTTTTTATTATTGTTCTCGGTGTTTTCAGGAAGCACTAAGCACCGACCATGTGATTGGTGTTCTCACTTTTTAGTGCACCGAGCGGAACCATTGCTGCACCTCACGCCTTATTTAGATTGAATACGATCATGGACCTGGTTCCTCTCCCTTATATTCTTCCATCTCTCTGTTGTTTATCCACAGTCATCCTCTTCATCATTTTCTTCCTGTTTCTCCTGCTCATAACGCTCCTTTAATAGAATCACAGATCACTGCTTCCACCACCTCAGAACTTTCCAATCCTGTATTATTTTTCTCCTCAGCATTTTTGTAATGAGATTTTCGCCCATGCAGAGCGATGAAGGGAGGCGTTATTACCAGGGCGCCTCTCGCACTTGGCATTAGCTATGTCGAAAGCTGCCCGCTAATGTAGCCTGCCCTCCTCCATAGCTACCATTAGGGGGGTGGGGTGGGGGGGCAGAGTGTGTAGGACGCAAAGCCTCTTTTTAAACACTATGTGGGATAATGAAATCCTGATGTTCATTAATGAAACTCAATTAATTGAAAGAAGGGGAGGCAGATGAAAAGGGAGGACAGGAAGAAAAAGTAGGGGGAGAACAAAGTGTGCCTCCCCCCAGACATTCAAAGGGAGCGATATAACGGGGGAGTCAGCAAAGCCCCTGCACAAAAGGCCTTATTTGACTTCCTTCTGTGGGACTTGCTGAGCTTATTAAAATGTTTAATAGGTTTCATTAACTTCTATCACTCTCTGGACTCGTACCAGCTGGGAGGGGAACATGTTAAGTGGGAGGGGGATGAGGGGCAATTACAGGGAGATTTTGGGTGTTGTCAAAAGGTCTGTGATATATTTCAGTTTATTCAGTGTAAAAAAAAATTGAGCTTTGAGCTCTCAGCCAGGCTTCTTATTGTCTTCTATCAAAGACTGAGACGTTTTTATGTTGTATCTTCTTTTCTTTAGTGATAATTGGGTTTTTGTATTTTGACTGGTGTGAATAATAGTTATTAAAATATTTACTTGTAACCACACATTCTGAAATATTTTAACATTTTTAGCCAAATATATGTTTTAATGTATGTTGACTTCATGGACAGTTCAGTGTAGAATATTTTGCAAAATTTATTGGCATTGACAATTCATATACATGAACAATAATCCAGCGACAATATTGTTTCTTCATCCGTTTAAATGTTCACGTGTAACTGTGAGAAAAAAGAAAAAGGGGGCGTAATACTCGTGAGTGGATGTCATCAAACAGGACGCCATCACACAGGCTGAGGGGCGACTGTCTCTCTCACTCTTGTACACGTTTCAGCTTCTCCACAATGTTTTCTATCTGGTCTTATCAAAGAACTTGAGTGAACTAATCCACCTTTTTCTTCCCACCGGCACAACACGCTTGAAATAGACTGTCACCCAGCTCTCCGTCCTCTCAGCAAGCTACCATTACACTCACCAGTAGTCTCCTTCACACAGGGATTGCCTCCAGGCACAGAAGAGACATCACAACCCAGAAAGACATCACTCCAAACCAAACCTCAGCCTGTCCCCCCTCCCCCCACCCTCACACTCCACTGTCTTGTAGATGAAAGGGAGTTCTGAGCTCAGGCCTAAAAGTGGAGAGAAGAACTTTCCACAAGGGGTCTGAATTATTGAGATATTAGCACTGACCCACACATTTTTTTCTCTCTCTCTTAAGTCCTAGGGATTCAATACGTAGCCGTGGTTTAGACTCCCTGAACTGGTGCCTCAAACACAACTTATGCCAATTATCTCCATAATAGTCATAATCTCCCTTTGGGTCCATTCAGAGACTGAATAGGTATAATCATCCCCAGTACTGTTTAGCTTTCAGGGGACAGAACCCTTCCAGCCTGTCTTTAATACCTGGCAGCTCCCATTCCTACTAATCCCTGGTTCACTGTAGTTTACTGCGAGGCCTTTCCATCATAGCCACCAGAGTAATCACAGTAATTTCCTGCCACATTAAGCAGGTCATTCATTTTTTTTCCAAGGCTTTGCTGTTTAAATTGTTAACACTAATGCCAGAGTTGATGGGGGTAGAAGGGGTTGTTATTTGAAGTCAGGTGACAATCACACAGCTCTAACAGTTATAAATCCTCTGCTCCACCTAATCATAACACGCTGACTTGAAGAGGTGAGGATTGGCAAGCGATACGTATCAAGATACAGGGGCAACAATACGATATATTCCGATATACTTCAGTACTATAGGGGGTGAGGATATATAGAAAAACTGTCAGAACAAAAACACAATGCTGTTACATGCAACATCAGGTTACAGAAATAGGAAAACAAAGATCTACATTTGTTATCGCCAGAGAAGAAATAAAATCAAAAATAGAAATAGAAAAAAAATAAAATAAACCAACGTCATGGTCATGTGTATGTTAATTGATAATTAAAAAATTGATACAATTTTGTAGAATATTGATACGGTATCATTAAAGAAATATCGCGATATATTGACGTATTGATACTTTTTTTTATCGATAATTTTTTTTTACCGTAATAACTTTATAATAGAGTCAGTGTGAGTAATGATGGCAGTGAGAGCCACAATCTCACTGATTTAAAAACTCCACTGGTCAGTCAGCGTTAGCATAACCAGGTCACCCTGTGTCTGTTGTACCATAATGGAACAGAGAAGCTAAAACAGCGGAACTTTTTTTTTTTTTCCAGGATGAGAATGTGTTGTTGTTGTTGCTCCTGCTCCAGGTGCTCAAACACATGAGTTGCACAAAACGAACTCTTTCATCTCTGCTTCGTGCTTATAAATCATCCCCACCTGGCTCTTTGGTGTTCTGCCTCTTTTTAAGTTGAACTCCTGTTTCTCTACTGTTCAATGATGGCGCTAATGAGACAGATGGGGACGTCTGTCCACCGTTCAGAGACAGATATTGGCAGCGGTCGCAGAAGAGGCACACGCAGTCCTCTGGTGTGTTGGGAATCACAGGAAGGCCATTGCCTGTGTGTGTGTGTGTGTTTTCATGCCCAATCAAGCCCAGTAGAAACCTGTACATCCATGTTTAACTGACTGGGAAGGGAGAGGAGGAGGAGAGAAACTCAGAGGAGAAGGTTGTGGCTGTGATCAGGCGTTACCTGTCTGTGACAGCACTCATCTCTCCAAACAGCTGAGACTTGTCACAGCTGATGAAATCCTGCTGGGTTTAACCTCACATGGATACAAACACACACACACACACACACACAAACAGATGTTGTCTCTCTGCCTCATTTACTCACTATGAGCACTGTGCTCCACAAACAGTATGCATCCAAAACCAGTATCAAGATGCCACAGTGACCTCCCTGAAGACCCCGTCATGATCTCATGAATTATGGAAGGATTCATGAAACTAAAACCTTGTTTTTTTCTCATTTCATGTCATTTCAGAACCGAGTCAGTCGCTGAGAAGATGCTGACAAACTGGTTCGCCTTTCTCCTTCACAAATTTCTCAAGGTTAGCGTTGGCGTCTGATCAGCATGTGCAGATTGTGTTTGTATTATATTTCAGACAAATAATAAAATATAAAAAATAAATAATAATAAATATGAATATTTGTTTGTTTTTTTGTATTCTGTGGATGTGAGTATCATGAATATAAGTATTTGTTTGGGTTTTTTTTGTATTCTGTGGATGTGAGTATTTCATTTTCATGTTCACTGACGTTCTCTCTGCTCATATCACAGGACTGTGCCGGAGAACCACTGTTCATGTTGTACTGTGCCATCAAGCAGCAGATGGAAAAGGGACCCATCGACGCCATCACTGGAGAGGCGCGCTACTCCCTCAGTGAAGACAAACTCATCCGCCAACAAATAGAATACAAAACCCTGGTAGGTGACAATTTGCCAAGTGGTTCACAAACAAACCCTGCTTGAATTCAGAGGATTGCTGGTTTGAATCCTGACCTTGTCAGGACTGCGGTGTGTGTGTTGAGCAAGCACAAAATTGCCCCACTTCTTGGAGTTCATCACAGATGTGTCTGTCACAGGGGCAGGGCTGCAGCGGGGGGACGTAGAAATGTTTGTATACATTTTTTATTTTTATATTAAGAAAATTGTATAAATGACTGTATTAGATATATATGCTGTACTGGTCCAAAAAATGCATTTTGCTGCAGAAAATGTTTGGGAACCAATAGTTTAAATCCAGAAAGACATCTAAGTACTGAAAAATAATATAACAATATTTTTTTGACAGCATTTAACTTTTATATATTATTAAATATTTATATAAATATTAATTAATTTTGAATTTTTACTCCTGAGGTTTTGTCAGATTAATTTGCTAGATTACAAATTGTTAAAAAAAAAATTATAATGTGCATTTTTATATCCAGTAAAGTAGCAACTGCTAGCCTGCAAAGCTAAATGTATCACTTATTCTCTGGGTGAGAAGGAGGGGGCGCTACATGCTGTTTGTTTACTTTCTGCAGATTCCCACCTTTAAAAATAAGTTTGATCTGCTGTGCTGGGTGTTATCCATCCTGTGTGGAGAGAAAATTAACTAATGCCCCCCAGGCTTTGTTGTTGGTCCAACATCAGGGTAGGAGATGGTGGGAACGTACCAAACAGACCCATCTGCACGTCCAAACACACTTAAAACAGAAAATAAATAAATAAGCAGTCACACAGCCAGCATGTGATGTTAAAATGCTCTGATTGCTCTGACTGGGACTTTGGCTCATTAAGTACTAATACCCCAGCAGAGCTGGAAATTGGTGTCCCACTGAAGGTGTGAAATTAGATTTCTGGATTCCAAAGAAAGTGGAAATGGTTCCTCTAAGCTCATGCGCTGCTCGTTGGAGACTCTAATGAGGGCGACACCTCCAGCTGCAGCAGAGCCAGGCAATAACAGGACACCTCTGCCTCCTTCTTCTCTCGCAATCTTTTCTAATCCAGATCCTGAACTGTGTGAACCCAGACAACGAGAACAGTCCGGAGATTCCTGTGAAGGTGTTGAACTGTGACACCATTACCCAAGTGAAGGAGAAGATACTGGACGCTGTTTACAAGAACATGCCCTATTCTCAGCGACCACGTGCTGTAGACATGGATCTTGGTATGACACATACACACTCGAGCACTTCCTGTTACAGACTTCCTGAGTGTGAATGGTGCTTTCGATTCATTTGTTTCATTGTCAAAGAAATAAAAATAACTTCAATACACATAGCTGATGCCAGCAAAAGTACCTTTTTGTTGGGAGTTTTTGCAAACCTACGCAGTACAACTGTTCTTATAGCGGTACTTTTTAAACACAATTTAGTTTCCCAATTATTCATTTTGTAATTAATTGCAAATAAAATGTTGCTGGTCGCCCAGCAGCAGTGGAGATCATCAGTCAGATAATAGCCGTGTCCCAGCAGCACAGTTGGTGAAGCAGCTTCACCGAGCTGCTGCCAGGACTTCTGTCAAACTGACTGACACTGTGGGGTGCATCCCATCGTCTGGCTGCTCACGCACTGTGCTGCAGAGTGACACGGTCGATAGAGACTGAGAGGTGTGCACGTGTTGTGTGTCTGTGACGTGGCTGCCTGGCAGACCCAGGTAAGAGCTGACAGACGTGGTCTCCAGTATCACGCGGGGGCTCCACTCCCACACAGTCTGCTACTGTACATCTGTTCTTTATTTCTCATACCTCACACACTCACACACACTTCATCTCATTTCTCTTACTTTGAACGGGTAGAGAGAACAGAAGCTTAGCTCAAAATAGCGCTTCGCTCCGGAATATGGCAGCGCTCACACTTGTCCTCTCTCTGCCTTTTCAGTGATGCTTCAATTTTTTATTTTTCGTTTCTTTTGTGTTCGTGTGTGTTGTTGTTTTTCTAACCTATATCTGAGTGTGGGGAAAATTGTGCCAACCAGGAATATGGGCACCTGGCAAAGGCACACAGTCATAAAACCGAGTCAACAGAGGAGAAAATCAATGACCAGTGCCATCAGGAAAGCCACAGTAGTCGAACACTCTCCCCTTTTTTTAACCGTATTATTATTTCATTACCCAGAAAGAGGAACCACGTTTCCTTATTTTATCCTCTTCCTGTGGGAATGATGTTATTTCTATCAAATGTTTTTATTATTTTTTTTAAAATTGCAGCCATAATTGTGTTAATTATTTGTGAAATTAATCAGGTTATATTTTTAACACATTGGCAGATTGTTGTGCACAGCACATTCAATAATTCCACCATCCATCCTCTAATCGTTGCTATGATACACAGTTAATATATTGTACATCGTTGTTATTTACTCGCGCTGCCGGAAAACATTTCAATATCACTAAAGTAGCTTGAGGTTTTAATACCATCTCAGCCTCTGTTTGTGGTTGGACTTCAACTTCAAGTCAGATTCACGGCAGGTTTTGGAAGCTGCTGTCAAGATGCACAGTAATGACATAAGATCCACCAACTTTGTGAAGCAAACTTTCGAGTTATACTTTTGCATATTGTTCTTGGCATTTTTCCAAATAAATAATTCCATGGAGTTGGTTCAGTCACAAAAATGAAAATGTACTTTTATATTTTGTGATATTTAGGACTATGGAATATGACAATATCTATTACGATTAATCTTGATTAATCATTAATAATCAACAATTACCCTGTGTAATTGCATAAAAATTCAAATCATTTCACAGCCCCAGTACTTATATGTACTGTATGTATATGTACTTGTATAAGTTGTACTCACATGAAGGTCTCAGCTACAGGGTGAGACACTGTATGACGGTACCTGTGTTTGTTTGTCCACCAGAGTGGCGTCAGGGGCGAATGGCTCGTGTGGTGCTGCAGGATGAAGACATAACCACCAAGATAGAAAATGACTGGAAGCGGCTCAACGCTCTAATGCACTACCAGGTAAAAACACAAAAGGATTTTGGTTCAAATGTTTTTCCAGAAAAGCCCTGCGTTACATTTTTATGGAGATTTTCATTTCTGGGTTGGTTTTATTATGGAAATGATGGCAAACACTGAGCCTGGCCAAACTTTGATGTTTCCTGCTGTTGACTTTCATGCAGCCAATTTTCAGCTCCTCATTTGCATGTCCATGTCGGTGTAATCCAAATGGCTGTGAGAGTGGAGGACAATTACTGTACAGGTGTCATGGAGATGAACTCTTCACATCTCCACAGCTACTTTGCCACCTCCCTGGAGAGGAGCTGCTGAAAGCAGGAGGGCAAAATGTCCCTGCCTCCGTCTCCTGGCGGTCCCCTTACTCATATGCTGATAACGGCGGGTCTCGCTGTGACTCTGAGCCTCTGTCTTTCTTCAATTCATGGCTCACAATTAAAGGGCCCGTAGGCTCACCCTTTTGCCCCTTATTAAAAGGAGAGAAAAGTAGAGACCCTAAGTGGAGGAGAAGTTTTGCATTTCCAGCGACTTCACGACTGCTGAAATTTTAAATTCAAAGAGGAGACTAAAAGGCGAAAGGAGAAACAGAGTTTAAATGAAAAAAAAGAAGTCGATGAGGGCTGAGGAAAATGGAGAAAAAAAGGAAAGGGTCAGGGAACATTTAAAATCATGCCCAGCAGACTGTCATTAGTATGACCCTGCTAACAGAGCGTACCATGTGAAATCCTGAGTTACTAGTAAAGAATAAATGTTGATGCAGCTATAAGGGAACGTCAGAAAGTTATTTTTCCATTAGAGAATTTCTTCTTTGTTCAATTCTGGGAGACTCCAGATCATAACCTGCTGTTTTTTTAAATTAAGAGCTCCCCAACAATGTCTCAAAGGGATTGTCGACAATTTATATGTAAAAACCCATGCAGAAAAGGAATAAATAAATATGCAGTGAGGAAAAATGAACTGAAAATTAGGATCTCATGAAAAAAAGCAGGGTCAAAATAATAGTCAATTAGTCAAAAAGTTCCAATATAAAGATTGAGGATATGGAATTATTTATGTCTTTCACACAGACGTTCCTTTTGACTATTTTTCAGACTTAGGCATATTTGACAAAAATACAATATCTGAGATGACTGGGGGGGGTGTCTTTAGTGATTGCAATCAGACAACTTTGAGAATTTCAACATTTGTCTTAGAACGTTTCACTAAGACTGAGTGAAGCTTGTCGTGCACATTTATGCTCTAATGACATTTTCTCACCATCATTTTTCATCTTAACCCTCTTCAGTGTGTCATACCTTGTGTTTATCCTGTTTTATTTCTGTCTCCCTTTGAGTCCCTTCTCTCCCCTCTTTTTCTTTCATCTCTACTTTTCTTTTGTCTCTTTTGAAGCAGCTTAATGTGTTTGTTTCTGTTGTTTCTCTTCACAAACACACATGTATTTGTTTTATGTTCTACCTCAGTCAGATCAGATACTTGTTTTGATCATAGTTCTGCATAGAACAGAAGGGCAAACATTAGAACATCAGAAGAGAGGCTGTAGGGCGTAAAAGCTGGTGGTCAGATACCCGAGACCACCATAAGTCAACACCAACATCATTAACAGTTCTATAAGGTTGTCTTAGATCTGCAGAATTCACACTTTTTTTTTCTTTCTTTTTTTTTTGTTCCACATGGTGTCACAGCTCTGGCTGCACATCTGTCTGTCTGTCACAGCCACTCAGATCCCTGGGGAGAATTCATCCCTACATGAAATTATTGGAAGAGGTTCCGGTTCATGCAGAATGAAAATGGTTTAAACCCAATTTTACTATAAAGGGACTGGAGGCCCAGACAGAAGCATGAAAATTCATAAGACCCACAGCGATCCAGGAAACCACATTGATTATTTACCCTGTCCCACAGGAAATAACAGTTTACACAAGCTGGCTGTTGGAGCAACCCACCACCCCCACCACCTTCTAGTATTAAAAAAAGAACCCCCCACATTAAAATTAAATAGAAATTTAGATTCAATGTCTTAAATCAAAGTTGGAAAATTTCAAATTTTATTTTCACCTTTGTCTCGTTACAATTTTTCCAGCACATCTTATTTATTCATTTTTTTTAGATACAAAGATTGTATAAAATCCAAAGTCAAAACAGTTTTTAAACTCCCACCCACTGCTGACCTCTGTCCTCATCTGTGCTGAATGGAAAGGCAGAGCCAGACAGTCAAGAGCACTTTGGGAGAGCCAGGGCAGATAGATCCTGTTACCCCGCTAGAGAAATCACTCGGGACATTCTGGGCTATTTTTACCAGCCTAGACACAACAGATACTCCCACGTTGTGTTTATTAATCTTTTACTGTTGTTCTCCTTAGAAGACCCCAGAACACAAATGGAGAAGAATTTAAACTCGATTATATTAGTAACAATGTGACAATCTCTCTATTTAACACAGAGATTCCTGGGGTCTTGTTAAATGCCCCCATTTCTCCAGAGCAGAGAAATTAAGATAAATCTGTTTTTCTTGTTCCATGTTTTTGTTTTTTTTTCAAATTATATTGTTCCTGACAACAGGCACTCACATAAACAGGTTGTGTAGGTCCAAGTTTTTGAGTGGAATGGCATGATGACCATCACATTTGAGGGCATGGCTCCAGACATGATGGAATGCCAAGAGGAATGAGGATGAGGCTGAGGCCAAGGCTGGAGTTTGTGTTGCTGAGGCTGAGTAATGAAAGATAGAGGATGACTGCACTTGGCCGTCTGGTCAGCTGTGTACAGTCTAATAGAAGGTCTTATCACAGGAGGAGCCCACAGCCCTTATCATACCTGCTGACTATCAGGCCCTCTCTAGATTATCCCTGAAGGGCGAATCTGCACACCTTCAATTATTTACTCCAGACCATCACTGCTGTAGTCTCTCTGTCAGACAGAAATGCAGGAGGGAGGGGGTGAAAGGAAAGAGGGGCGGAGAAGTGATTTCACACTCTCCAAGAAAAATGTATCACAGAGACTCCACGGAAGTCCAGGGTGTTGATCTATTAGAGTGGCTATAAACTGGAGAGGCCACAGAAATTAGGTTTTGGAAAGCGGGGAAAATTGGGAAAAAGTGAGAATAAAATGACAAGTTCTGTTGTGGATACAGAGAGTGATTGAGGAGACCGTTTTTCATTTCTTCCAAAGTGGTCCAGGAACAGGAACTGCATCCTAAAGAGGGCCCTCCCCAGCTTCCTGCATCTTTTCACTGCCGTCTGTTAAAGCCAAAAAGCAACTTCTACTAATGATGTTGACAAGATTTTTATTTTAAGTTTGGATGAAATGGGTAACGTCTTGGCTAACATCTGGACGTGTCTTCTGTAATGACGTGTCCTCTGGGTTTTTAAGTTAGGTCAGTTTGGGCTGGGCTTCTGCCTACAGAGGTCTCTGCCTGAGGGGGAGAACACCAGTGGGCCGCCTGTGACGACCCTGACTGTGGGAGTGTAGTCTTTAAGACTGATGACATAACCATCAAATTGATTAACTCACACACTGACGTGTGTAGCATCCACGTTAACTGTGCTGTTCCAGCCCACGCGGGTCACTTCAGGACTTCACGCTGCAGTCCAACAGTGTTGGCATCTAATTAGACTATGAACAACCGTGCAGAAAACCTGCAGTGATACGAGACCTGCAGTGTGACCACAGCCTCAGACACAAAGGGTTGGGGTCACATGAGGGCACATTTGTGTTTGCAGCCCATTTATGCTGTCCATTTTTCTCTCCCCCCTCTCTCTCTCTCACAGGTGTCCGATCGCTGCGTCGTGGCCCTGGTGCCAAAGCAGACGTCCTCATACAACATCGCCAACTCTGCCAGCATATCGCGCTCTTCCATCAGCAGATACGGTGAGTTGATCGACTTGATTGCTCTCTTCGTACCCACGTTGGTGGCATTGATGTAATTACGTTGATTATAAAATGCTTTCGGTGAATAATTACGAGTGAAACTGTATGAGCCTATTAAAAGATAATCAACTGTTAATTCATTGCGAGCACGTTGGTGTTGTTGCCGCTGCTGTACAATCACATCATAATGACTTGTTATATGAGCTGTACTGTCAGTAGAGAACAAACACAGAAGGATGATTGGGTTTACAGCCCATTCTTTTGTGTGTGCTGGAGTTTTGCGCCACAGTTAAGGTGGTAATCTCTGCTGGATGACACGAAACCAGTGATTTAATTTGTGAATTGAGCCCAATTACCTTTAAATCACACAGCACATTTAGACTCACTCTGAGTCAGTGTGAGCAGTGTTCATTTTAAAAGCCAGTCTTGATTTAGTCTTTTGACTCAATTACAACTTAGTCCCAGTCCCAATTGAGTGAATAGAAATGTTTTGAAATTAAGTAATTAGTTGACAAAATATCAAAAAATGTATTTATTGGACACATTTAAATCACATTTAGTCAAACATTACAGAAAAAATGACATCCTGACAGGAAACTGTGTTACTGGGTTTTATTATTGTTCGTTTATTTATATTTTATCACGAAATTGTTATTAGATCCAGATTAAACAGTGTTTTATAATTTAATAAATTATACACAAACAGTAGTAGCAAACAAAACATTAAAATGTTGTGACAAGAAATTAATTGCAATTTAAAGTTACTTCTAATAGAAACTTTATCATTTATTTTCCTGAATCTACGTTAAAAAAGTGAGGAGACATTTCTAGTGTTTGGGACAATGAAGTGTACAGCTTCTACTTCTCACAGTGTTTGTTTTGGTTTTGGTTTTGTTTTTTCTTGTCCAAAGTTTCTTGCTTCGACAGTGGTTGTTGAGGAAGTTGGTAATGTGTAGCAGCGAAGCAGAAGTTCTGCTGGCAGGAGCCGTCCTTCATCAATCATGGGCTGACACAGCAGGCACAGCTGCACCTCCACACCTGCTGATGGATTCATACCAATTTAACGTTCAACACTTAACATCTTGACTCAATTTATGCCACTGCTGCCTCCCTGCCCCCCTCCTTTCCACTTGTCTAAAAATCAGTGCAAACACACAACCCCTGCTGCGCTGTTCAAGCCCACCCTAAGACAGGAGGGAGATAAAGAAATAGTTAAACTCAAAGTTAAACCAGTCCATAGTTATTATGGTATGGTATCATGGACTTCAGTTTACTTTACGTATATACATAAACCCCCTTCTGTCAGGTCCTGGTCCCGGGGGTCCTGCCTAAAGGTCAACTCTGGTCTGGTTTGAACAAGTCTATGTAGCTGTAATGGCAGCAGAGAGCTTTGTTGTTTGACTCGGCTTCTGACGGCAGGTGAGAAAGCGTCTTGGTGAGATCCTCAGATCCCGACTCTCCAGAGAGTCAGCTGCCAGGAATACACGCCGGCTAATTAAAGAAACTGAAACCAGCGCCGTCGTGACTGAGTGAGGAGCAGGAGCAGAGAGGCAGGAACAGGAGAGGGGGAGCAGAGATTAGGGTTTTGTGAGGATGAAGGAGTTTGGCCGTCAGGGCTCCACAGATTGAGAATCTTTTGATGCACTGATCAGAGAGCGGTAGGAAGGTTGTCGACGAGGCATATGTACGTCAAGACAGGTGAAAAATAGTAATAATAATAATAAAAATAAATTATTTTGAACAGAGCCAGTCACAGACAGAGGGACGACAACAGAGCAGGGTTGGAATACAGATGAGACTGTGTCTTATTACTCAGTGCAGTCAATGATTAGGAGAACAAATATGTAGCAAAAAGCGGTGGCAAGGTGATCATCCATCTTGTGTGCCTCCGTAGATTCCAATTTCAAGAGGGATTCCACTAATCATTGCAATTCCAGGAGCCACAGCGTCTCCTCCCTTCCATTTCTTTGCTGTTCTATGAAATTACCCACCACTGCAATTTCCCTCAGAGCCTGGCTCACAGCAGAACGCCACTCTGTAATGAGAATACAAAGGAGGGTGGAGACAGCAAAGGTGCTGCGTGTACAATATGCATGCCTCTGTGTATGTGTGTGTTCTGGGTAAAGGGCTAGTTTCTACAAAGAAAAGACGTTCTCTCTGTCATGGACCGCTGGACTGTCCAGGCCAGGCTTCAGGACGTCCCGACCCTTCAAGGATTAGGATGAATGAATGTTTTCTTCTTCTGTTGTCTGTGCAGACTCTTCATTCCGCTACACGGGCAGTCCTGACAGCCTGCGATCACGAGCTCCGATGATCACCCCTGACCTAGAAAGTGGGGTCAAAGTGTGGCACCTGGTGAAGAACCATGAGCATGGGGACCAAAAAGAAGGAGACCGCGGGAGCAAAATGGTCTCTGAGATATATTTGACCAGGCTGCTCGCAACTAAGGTACAAGTGCTCATGAGTATATGAGTGGGTCGAATCTTGTTTTGTTTTTAAATCACAAGTATATAGATAACAAAAAATTACCATAAATATTTAGGTTTTATTGAAATTAATGAAAACTAGGCTTCACATTTTGATAAAGCTCCATCTAAGATAAAGCAAATTATCTGATGGAAATATTGCTTAAAGAAGTTTTTAACTATGAGCTCAGTTCATTTGGGTTGTGTTTTTCTCACTGACCATCTCTGATCTCCCAGGGTACGCTACAAAAATTTGTGGACGATCTGTTTGAGACGTTGTTCAGCACAGTCCACAGGGGGAGCTCTCTACCGTTGGCCATTAAATACATGTTTGACTTCCTGGACGAACAGGCCGACAGACATGCCATCCACGACACAGACGTACGACACACGTGGAAAAGTAACTGGTGAGGACGCTGGTGTTCGTAGGTTCACTGATGATGTTCTCTTCAGTCATGTCACTGGAGTCTCACCTTCTTTTTCCTCCGTCTCTCAGCCTTCCACTGCGTTTCTGGGTGAACGTGATCAAGAATCCGCAGTTTGTGTTCGACATCCATAAGAGCAGCATCACAGACGCCTGTCTGTCTGTGGTTGCTCAGACTTTTATGGATTCCTGCTCAACATCTGAGCACCGCCTCGGCAAAGACTCTCCGTCCAATAAGCTGCTGTATGCTAAAGACATCCCCAATTACAAGAGCTGGGTAGAAAGGTAGGAGCTGATGATGTCACTTTAATTGTTAAAATACTTAGTATTGTGTGGGGGTGTTATATTTACAACATTTCTCCCAGTGATTGCAGTGTGTTTTGTGTGTGTCTCTGGGTTCTCAGTGTTGAGTTTTGTTCCGTCTTTGTTTTCAGGTACTATGCAGACATTAACCGCCTGCCGTCCATTAGTGACCAAGACATGAATGCCTACCTGGCAGAACAAGCCAGGCTCCACTCCATGGAGTTCAACATGCTCAGTGCCCTCAATGAGATTTACTCCTACGTCAGGAAGTACAGTGAGGAGGTGAGTGATGTTATTTGTCTGTAGCTAACGTTAGTTATGAAGTCCATACACGTAGAAATGCATCAACCAAGCCACCAGGGGTTCATTTTTTCAATGAGGTCTCATCTTCCATCATTAACAACCAAACATCTTCATGCGTTGATGTCACTTATTACATCCTTTTCAATCTTCTTGCTGGCAAACAGACAAACCTTTGGCACATTACTGCCATCTGCTGGGCTGCAGTGTGTGGGATTATTTTTACATAATATAATTCGGAGCAATTCATAGTCTGTACAGTATTGACCTCAGTGATGCTGTCAGTAGAGTTGGTTGTGGATGTGTTATTAGTCAAGTGAGGTCTGGCCTACTGTTTATGATCTGTAGGCCATGAAGACATAACCATGTTGTGTCCCTTTGTCTCTAATGCATCAGAGCTTTGTAAAAGTGTCTTCTTTCTAATCTTTCCCACTCGCTTGTCTCCTACTTCCTCTTTTCCTCCTCTCATCCAGCATCTTTCACTGGTAACTCTTGTTTAATACCGTGAAGGCTGTGGGCCGAGCTAACCGGGCCACAGTTTCAGCCTACCCAAATGGTTTTGGGAGTTGGAAGCGGCAGCTGCACCTGCATACCGTGCTGTAGATTAATAATAGATTGTTATCTGGTCCGACGGGGAGGAGGAAATGCTCCGCTGGCAGCTGCCAGAATTTAAGAGCACTTAGGCATATGAGAGGAAGATGGCAGGTGGGCAGGAGAGGTCTGAGTTCAGCAACATTCACAGTGCAGTGAACAAAGACAACTCCATCCTGGGCAGTAATACAGAGGAGAATGTAATTGGACGTTATCTCTGGTTTCTTTTAAAGAAATCTTAATTAGAGGCTTTCTTACTGATGCATTCTGGTCTTATCAAAGAGCTTTATTTGACATAATGAGCATGTAAAGTAAAGTAAAAAAGTGTTAAGTGTTTGTGATGACTAAGTCAATAAATAGACCTAGAGGTGAACTGTCTGTACCAGGACTGTCGTAGCTAAGGTTAGCTCTGGTGTTTGTGCCAGGACTGTCGTAGCTTCAGTGGGAAGATTTTGGGTTTTTTTAAACCATCACTTTATCCAAGCTGTCAACAACAACAACACTGATGCTACTTAATCCATTCTATTGATCATCTTTGCAGCTGGCAAATAAACCTTAGGTGCCTTATTGCCACCTACTGGGCTGGTGTGTGCATTGTTGTTTTATTTATTATTTTATTTTGTTTATAAGTATTTAATGAAAATTTAGGCATTACACCTCCAGCCCCTAATTTTTGACTTTGTAAAATATAGGAGTGCCAATGTCTGCAAAGAAAAAAATAGTGATTTGTTTTACTGACAGGCGAAAGGACAGAAAGACAGTAAAGTGAAATCTATGACTGCCCATAAAATGATCGGGAACATAATCCATAACGAGGTGACAAAAAGTCATAAAAATATAAATTAAAATGTTATCTTATATCTCACATCAGTAGGAAACACTGCCTGTTTCCTACTTATTTACCACTTAATTAATTGAGTTTCACCAGGATTTGTTGGTGAATTAAATTTTTAAAAGCTCGTCAAAAGCGTTGATTTACTGACGAATGGCCGCAGCTTCTGGAGACTGAGGCTGAATCCAGAGGTGAAAGAGTCAGTGTGTTACTTCATATTGAGGTCTTTGTATTGGATGTGGGTGTCACTCAAACACAGATTGGTTCTGACAAGGCAGGCACCACATGACAGAGATAAGAGCAGAACCGTGTCTGGGTTCTTTTTGAACCGGGCTTGACAAATGTCAAATTTACAAGAGGGGCCTCAGAAGATAAAACAGAGAAAACCCGCACACCAATATTGTCAGAGGCCACGGCTGTGATGTAATTCTTTTCTCTTCCTTTCAAGTGATTTCTCTGTGGAAACATTAAAACGCGTCAGCCTTATAAAGAAGATTTTTTAGGTTTTCATCACCATACAGACAGCAGTTGATCTCTCTGTCCTCTGTCAAACAAAGACATTCACACAGAATGCACAAACACATGTGGTGTGTGTGTTTGTGTATGATTTATTTTTATCAAATTTTCTTCTGTTCTATTCAGATCATTGCAGCTCTGGACCAGGATGAACAGGCCAGGAAGCAGAGGCTGGCCTACAAGGTGGAGACACTCATCTCTGCTATGTCCCTCGAGAGTTGAGAGTGACCCCTACTGACGATAAGAGGACCACAGTCTGTACTGGACCAATATAATTTACCTCTTACTGTGGAGACCCTGGGATCTGAGCGTCCATTCACAAAGAGACAAACTGCAACTTTTGTGTTACATCCCTTCTGTTCCTCTCATGGTGACGTAAAACTCTGGGTCCACAGACTGAGAAAACCTGAGGCACGAGACTAAAACATCAGAGGAGAAGACAGCCAGCTCGCCCTGTGTTTACTATGTTTTATTTTTTCCCCCACAAAAGACGTTTTCTCTCAGTTCCACCTGGACGTGAGCAGGAGAATAATAACCAGATCGAGAAGCACAGGAGTCGATTTCACGTTGGTCTGCTGGGTTCACATTCAGGTTTCACTCAGATTTTATTTTTGTACTCCTACATTTGAACACGATCCGTCGCCATGGAAGTATCTGCAGCACCGTGTTGTCAGAGTTGGATTTCAAGCTTGTGCAGATGTTTAACAGGCCGCTGGCCGTGTCTTCTCTGACTCCTCGCCTGTGGACAGGAGGTCATGTGACCTGGGCTTATTCTCCCAGTCCACACTAAAAGGCCACATTTCAGCCAGCATGCTTGCACCTAACCATGAGGTTGATGGTGACGAGGTCCGTAGAGTATTTCGGAGCTGACCATTAATCAGCATCGCTCTGGTGACCGAGGCTCTGAGGTCATCGGTGTGTGTGTGTGTGTGTGTGTGTGTGTGTGTACTGGACAATACTTGCCAATTAGTGTAGTATGTGAATGTACAAAACTCTTTTTTTTTTTTTTTTTTTTTTTGGTTGTTAGAGTTCAGCAAAGACAAAGGGGAATCAGTTGAACTGATTTCATTAGTTCATTTCAGCACCTCATCAAGTGAACAGCTCCGCTGCTGTCCTGACTTCACAGCAACCGTTCCTGCCGGAAAAATATGGTTTTCCTGTCACATTATTTTACTTGAAGAGAGTGTGTGTGTGTGTGTGTGTCGCTGTATCTCGTCGGCATTGTGGCTGGAGCTGCACTAGTGAAAGGTCGTTGGCTGCCGCAGACTGAAGCTCTTCATTAATGTGTCTCTATAGAAGCCCCTTTGTGTCCATGCATGCAGAAACACATGTGGTGTGTTTAAGACTCCATCGTTGAATTTTTCTCCAGTGCCATTGAATGATGCCAGTTCTAGTTAACCAGCCCAGATAAGTAGATGAATGGAGACTTTTCCTGACTGCCACCCATACATTCTGACCACAAGAAGCCAAGCTGCATGGGTCGACGTCGACCAAGTGCCAAAAGATACTGTGGTATCAGATTCTTCGCCGATGTGTCAAAATAGCAGTTTATGCTTTACACTGAGAGCGAGGTCCTGAGGTCAGAGAGTGGAGAGCAGGAACGTATTTATAAACCTGTTTGAAAAAAAAAAAAGGTACGAAACGCAAGCAGAGTCAGCGAGGAGTGAGAGAAGAGTGGGAATTCAAACAGGTTTTGTGGATGTTTCTTTGGACTAAAACTAAAAACACTGCTAAAAGGCTGCAGTGACCCCTGACCTTTCAGCTGGATAGCAAACTGTAGACTTCATCCTCTGGTGACGAGACTTTTTTTTTTCTCTGAGATCCACGACATCTTTGCCTTTTGTTTACATGGAGTACTTGAAAATATGTTGCGTTAATGAGCTTTGTGTGTGTGTCAGGTCTGACCAACACCACCAGTGGGCGAAAGGTGTTTGTTTTGTTTTGTTTTTTTCTTGAGGCCTTAGAAATCTTCCTGTTCATTCTTCCTGATCTCAGTTTGGACCCAGTCCTTTCAGTTCATCAGCGACCAGAATATCTCTCATTCCAGAGACGTCTGTTACAGGCAGACGAGTGTGAGTGAAGGTGAAGAGGTGTACGGCCCCGGCCGCTCACACACAGACGCTGCCTCGCTCAGCACTTACTTTGCCAACGGTGTTGGAAGAGATGTTCCCAGAAATGAAAAGAGAGAGAAAGCTTTGAAGCTGCTCTTTGATCTGACTGAGTTACCTGCAACACAACAAAGATCGAGCTGTGAAAAGATGGAGGGTAAAAACATCAATCCAACTGGACATTGTCTGGTCAACGACGGCCAAAGTGGGACTGAGAACTGGTTCACACCTTTCACTCACCAGAACCCCGATAAACACGGAGATGCAGGAGTCCAGGCAGAAAAACGTGATAATTCTTCCTTTAAATTGCAGCGTCTTCCCATTTCAGCCAAACCGACTGTGTCCTCTGATACCTCACTGCTTGTTTAGAGTAACTGGACCTAAATGCCTTTGTTTTTTTTTTCTCCTGTGGATCGGTTCTTTAGAGACCTCCAGCTGCTCAACAGCTCCTCTTGTGGTCACCATTGTGACAAAGGCACATTACAGTAGTTAAGTGTGTCTTTCGTCCTTTCGTCATTTCCGGGGGGGGGAGGTTTGGGGGAGGGTGGTTTCCTTCTCATCTGGAGTTGGATCCCTTTTGCATGCCTTTGATTTCCTGCTCCGTGTGGCGTCCGTGTCTGACTGCAGTGCTTCCCTGAAAGACATGTTTCTGGACACGTTTAATCTTTAAGCAGCTTCAAGCACCTTTTATGTGAAAGAGTTGAATTTTTTTCTGTTTTTATTTTCTTCCCTTTTTTTTCCCCGATCGTTACTTATAGCTTGTTTCCATGCTGTGCACTCGATTTGTGGAACCTTTTGAACTCAGTTTGAACTGAGGGAAGGGGATTTTGTTTACTCTTTCTGCAGTGCAGAAAAACCATTGGACTGCCAGTCGGTATATCGCTGGATGCTCGTAAACAAAAACGTTGCTTTAGCACCGACTGGTTGCAAATTTTTTTGTGCAATTGATTTTTTTTTTTTTTTTTGTTTTGCTTTGTGATTTAATTCGGAGGAAACGTTCCTGTGGTTCTAACTGGCACATGTCATCGTTACGTCTGTAAAACAAACATCTTTAGTTTCGCAGTGTCAAACAGAGGATTTTGAATCCGGATCAATGTTTTCTTTAGTTTCGCAGTGTCAGAGGATTTTGAATCCGGATCAATGTTAGTTTCAAAAGAAAAATATGGCAGATATATAAACTGAGTGTCCGTCCATTTAAAATACACATCTTAGACTTTGTAGACACTGGACTTCTGTAAAATAGTACTTACTGGCAGTGATGATGATGACGATGATAACGATGATGATGGTGATAAAAATAATAATGGCTGTCTGTTCTTGTTTTATAAGGTGTTGTGAAAATTGTAAGAAACTTAAAGTATTTAAAAAGGTTGGTTCCCTCGTTTTTCTTATTTGCTCTGGTTTTGTTATGATAATATATTATTGTGTACCTATTGTAAATATGAAGCACACCTATTTTGCAAGCCAAGGATTCACTTTGTACTGTTGTTATATATAAATAAACTTTGCTGGTTAAAAACGGAGCCGAGGACAGAGTGTGTGTGTTCATGTCGGCGACTCACCACTCTACGTCTGGTTTGCCCGTAAGATTTTGACGAAGCGTTTCGACTCTCCAGGTCCTGAGTCTGCAGTTGAAGAAGAATGAAACCTGTTGGGGAGAAAAACAAATGTATCAAACATCTGTTTCTAACTTAAAGCAGGAACACAATATGTTGTGTAACAAAAAAGACAAAACTGGACACAGGCCATGTTTCTCTTGCTGTGATTGTTTAACAGGTTGATCCCTAGTAGTAAGTCATGGTCGTTCTCTGTGTGTTAATATACATAGGCATACAGAGTTAGGTTAGCCATTCACTCTGAATGTACCACAGATGTGTATAACCATTGACAAGTATCTGAATCTACTGTACATGTTGGACCAGTGGACAAAACCTCACTGTTCACTCTGCTGCAGAAACGTCACAACATGTTTTCGATTCTGAAGCTGCTAAGATTTCTAATGAGTCCAATTGTGTTAAAAACAAAACTTTACAGACGTCTGCTGCTATTGGACAGTCTAAGCTACTTTTTTTTTTTATAACAAATGTTTTTGGTTGTCATTTTATTCTGTGATATGAAACTCTGCCAAACTGATGTAATGTTCTTCTGCATATTAATAAGGTGAAGAACTCCAGTTCTACTTTGATGTTTTTCTAACATGAAACATCTGCTGCTTCTGTTCTACTTTCTCCTCAAAGTCAGCGAACACATCCATCCTCTGTGGAGTCGATGGTTCGGACCTGACTCTGAGGATGAATCTCTTCTAGTCCAGGTTCTGCTGTGGCTCTGAGTGGAGCCTTGAAGCCTCTATTTCCCACTTACCTCCTGTTCAGCGCCAAACGTGATAACCTTCAGCTGTAACGCAGTGAATTGTCATCGTTTGTCTTCATGCGAGTCTCTTAGCTCGGCCACTGGAGCTCTGGGTGAGTGTGTTACGCCGCAGTGAAGAAACCCCCGAGGCCATCGGTTCCACCAAGGACGTCTATAATGGACCGTTGGCTCCACCGCTGCACCGGCTCAGTCTGATGACTGTCCACCGTCTGGATCCACGTCTGATTGTACAAACAGAACAAAGAAGTAGAGTGAGACGATCTTTATTGTTGGACTAGACTTCACTCTGATATTCATTCATTCATTCATTCATTCAACTTTGATCCTGTTTTATTTAGGGTCCTGTTCAAAGCTGGAGCCAATCACAGTGGACCAAGCTGTGGTTCACCAGGAACCCATCCATCCATCCATCCATCCATCCATCCATCCAAAGCACCACTTCACCAGGAACACAGACAAAAAAACCCTTCACACTCGTTCACACCTACGAACCATTACGAGTTTTTGAGACGATGGCAGTAATCCAGAGTACCTGGAGGAAACCCTGCATGTACACAGTGAGTACACGGACACTCAACACTACAAGACCACCAGTTCACATTTACAGCGTTCTTCAAAACTACTGCACTGAAATGTAATTCATATAAAACCACTCAAACGAACAGATCAGTGCCAGTTTCCCTAATTAAGAAAAGTCAAATTTGAAACTTATTTTCCTTTAGCTGCTCCCCCCCCACCCACCGTGAGGACCTGCCCCTTAATTTGAGAACCACTGCTGCACCCTTTTGTCTTATTGTTCTCCTATTTTAAGCGTCTTCAGTTTTCTCACCACATGAGCAGCAGACACACAGTGATCTCATTATGAACAGAGTCGTCGAGCGTTAATGTAACGTACGCGACACTAATGAAGACGTCGTCTGACATGTTTTGCCGTCGTCAACACTGACAGAAATTATACCGCTCAGCTACAAGGCATTATTCTATATCCTAAGTCATTCGCCCCCCCTCACCCTCACCCGCTCCCGTCTCACCCTCACCCCCCCGCTGTGCTTCCTAAGGGAAAACTCTAATCCCCGTTGCTTCTAATCCTATACTGCGGGGGCCAATTCACATTCACGGGGGCTTTACGCCCTGTAATGCCCTTGTATGAAGTTGCGTTAGGCTGACATCTCATTTGTTCTGCTTTGGGTTTTTAGTCTGGATTAAGGAGAATATTCCAAAATCATTAAAGTGTGGATCATTTTGGACAGTTCTGCTAATAAATTATCAGACAGAAAATCCCTGACAGATTGAATAATCTCATTCTGACCCTGATGGTCAGCGGTTTGAGTCCTCGTGACCTTTGTTGCCGTGACACTGGTCATTTAATCAGCACTATAGCTAATCCTAGCTGTCAACGACTGAGGGTGGGGTACACCCTGGCCCACTGGTGCATCACAGGGCTAAATATATAAACTGCTATATAAATATATATATATATATACATAAATCTGTTTTTGACTAGAACCATGTGTTGTTTTTGAAACAGAACCTTCACACGTCTTCTACAACAGCGCCCCTGGTGTTGGCGGTCAGTGTCGCACCACATGTGTCTATATTCCTATCTATTTTCCCATGTCTGGCAGAAGAAGGAGAAACGTCTCTGCCAGGAATCGAGACACGAAGCAGCGTTACGCTGAACAGGACGCGGCGCGGTGGAAGTTTCTGGGGGAAAAGAAACTGCAAACCAACGTGGATCCAGGTGTCGTGAGTCTATTTATAGTCTGGCGCAGCGCTGCTGGAGCTGTCACCCTCCCTCTGCTCTGCAGCCAGCCTCGCCTGGCGCCCACCGGCCCCTCTCTCATTAGAAGTGCACAGAACAACACATGCTGGTGAAGTCTGTGGGTGCTCTGCACAGTTCACAGGTAAGAGACTCACACTAACACACACACGCACACACACACACCAATTTGCAAATGTATACGCACACTCATAAATATGGACATTTTCATGTGTTTTTAAACAAATGAAAAAAGAACACGGGTCCGATTAGAGATGCTAACTAGAACCTCCAACTGACACTCCAAGTTTGGCCTCGTCTCCTTCTACACAACACGATAAAAAAAAGAGGTGGGTGGCTTTCAATTATCACTGCCCCCCCTACCCCCCCACTCTCCCCCTTCCTAATCCAACCACTCCAACTGTGCTGAGTATTTGTAACTAAAAAACAAAAAAGAACTTTAAAATACAGAAAAAAACCAAGCAGAGTGAAGCCACAGAGGACGTGTAATTAGATTCTGTTTTGTCTCGTATCCTTTTTGTAAACAAACTCACCAACACAAACACACACACATATATTGTGCCACCATGCTGCTGCTTCCAGGCGCAGAGTGCAGGTAAGAAACATCAGACAAATTTCCCTGGCTGGAGAACTCATTTGCATATGCAGATGTTAATTACCACTGGAGCTTGTATAGGCCAATTGACAGCTTGTGCTCCTGCTTACACCCACCCACCCCTATTCCACAAGTAGCCGTTTCCACGGTTACTCCCCCGGCTGATAATAAAGATAATCGCTGCCGTTTTCCTTCACGGTTCATTTTCTGCTGTTTGCTTCTAGAAAGGCCAGAGCGCTGCTGTGTGATTTTCCACACAGAGCTGAGGATTGGAGCGGGGGCCAAGTCACCACAGCACCTGCGACATATGCACCATAGGGGAAGGATTCGTTCAGTCATGGTCACAGATAGAGAGGAGGAAATGAGAGCCAGATCAACCACAAGGTACCGTGTAATGATGTTTAGAATAATGTCTGGGATGAGAGCAGAGTTAGAAGAGATGAGATGAGACCAGGTGATAAATGTTATCACATAGAGCGAAAGCACTGACAATTCAGCAAGAATACTATGTTTCCAAAAACCTTCAAATTAGGCATAAACCGAACCCTAAAAATTTAACAAATTATTGAATAACAAAAACTAAATATGAATAAAATAACATTTCAAACCAAAAGCTATGTCCATTTCTGTTGTTAAAACTGAGAAAAAATATAATTTTTAGGGACGCCATCTTTTGATCACAGTCAAATCCTATACCTATAAGATCCTGAACCAATCTCCGAAAAAAAAAGTTTCTCAAAAATGACTAAAAATGCACTCATTTAGCTTAAAATACTTAGCTATGTCCATTTCTGTTGTTAAAATTGAGAAAAA